ACTCGTGTCAGAGTGATCCTGCTTAGTGACGGTGGGGCTGGGCAGACAGGGCCCCGGGTGTCTGGGAGGTTGTCCCAGAAGTCCCTTGGGGGTCCAGGCACTCGGTGAAGTCGCAGGTGGCAGTGTGGCCCTGCCCCATTCCCTGCCATGGGGTCGCCTGGTGTTCCACAGGATGCCTCCAGGGACCCAGACAGAACGCTGGAGGTACCCTCTGGGGGACCCCAGCAAAGGTGACTTTGAGACTCCTTGGTGCCCTTCTGAGCCTCAGTTACCCCATGTTAATGCGGGAGAAGAACTGCGGCCCCTTCCCGGGCTCCTGGGGGTGGGTGGGTGTTACAGGATTCTGAGAGCCACCCGTCCCAGGGCCTGGTTGACTCCCAAGCTCTCCAGGGCGGAACACAGGCAGGGCCGGGTGGGGGTTTGCCTTGTAGGCAGCAGGAGCCACAGAAGGTGCTGTGGGGGGAGCAGCACCCGCCGGGCTGGCCTTCCTGGGGGAGGGCGGCCACAGGTCCCGTCCAAACCCTGCTGTGTTCTTTCTCTTGCCTGGACTCCCTTGAAGCCCTATGGGTTGGGGCACATCCGATGGCTCAGAGTGGTCACTGGGGTTCACCTGGCACCTGAGCAACGCCACACAGTGGGGCCGGCCACAGCCAGGGCTCAAACACGGGTGCAATCCCCACTTCAGAACCCGGGACTGTTGAGGGACGGCCCCAGTGTCGCCCCTGTCGGCCCCGCCCCCCCAGCCCCAACCCACCCGCTTCCACCAGCTGCTGTGGCTGCTCTCTTCCCGGTGTTGTTTGGGTTTTAATTTTTGTGTTGCATTTAGAAAATTACCCGTAATTACAGCTTCGGAGAGGAAACGGCCTCGGAGTGCAGCCCCGGCTCTCCAGCTGTGGCCCGCCGCCCACGCACAGCTGGGGAGGGGCTGCAGGGGCCCCAGGCGCAGCTCCCGGCCCCCCACAAGACCCCGCTTGAATGGCAAGGATGTGGGAGGCCGCTGCCTCCTCCTATGGAGAGGAATAAATCCATCCTTAGGAAAACCACGGCCGCCTTCTCCCCAGGACTGCGGCACCCGGGCCTCTCGAAGAACATTCATGGGTCCCCACCTCGGTCCTGGTGGGTGTGGGGGTCCCGGAGCTAGGGGCGGCACCGGCTGTCAAAAGATTGCATGATGCACGATTTTTGTAACAGTGACAAGTCCAACCAAGGCCAGTGTGGAAACAGTGATGCGGGGGAGGTGGCCCGGGAAGGCCTGGAGGAGGAAGGGGAGGGGGAAGGGCTGCGCAGGAGGAAGAACGGGGAGGAGTCGTTGTCCTCCCGGTGGTGACAAGAAGGAACTGTTGGTTGAAGGAGGAGCCAGAGGAGGCCAGGACAGGGGTCGGAGGAAACTCTCCAGGTGGAAGAAAGATAAGACTGTGGAAGATGTATGGAAGGGTGGCGGGGTGGAAGGGAGAGGAGGTGCCCCCTCTGCGCAGACTCCCTTCTCCGTAAGCAGAGCTGCCTTCGGGCTCCCCCAGGAACCACCCTGACCCCGCGGGGCTGGTATTTGGAGGACTAGGCAGTGGCGACTCACCACCTACCCCTCCAAACCGACTCAGCTGCAGTCCCCGAGCAGCCACACGGGGGCGACATGGAGCCCACATAGAGGAGGCAAGGCTGGGATGCAGTCTTGACCCTGAGCAATCTTGGACTCTAAATCAATTACCAGATCTGCCCTGCCCAGGACGCTTGCCCAGCTGGGCACCTTTCCCGGTGCAACTTTCCTGTCATATCATTTTAACTCTGTAGAAGTGGGGAGATCCCTTTCCTCATGCATGGGGTCTTGGCCACTATTCTTGTAACCAAAGATAGGTTCACAAGAGAAAAGCATATTGAATGTATTGAAAATGTATTGAAATAAAAGTTTTCCGTGAGCTGGGAGACTTTGGAAATGAAGACCAAAGGCCCAGGAAAACTATTTGTATTCCTGCCTCCCCTGTAGAAACGTGATTGGACAAAATGGCAAGCTACAGAGGGGTGAACCCCAGCAAGACCTCTGTTCATATTCTTCTTGGTCTCTGAATGGGCAGGACGCTTCTAGAAAGAGGGTCTTCTAGTTAGACGGAGAAGAGTGATCTAAGCCCCTCCCCTGCATGCTGGGGTTGAAACCAGAGCCTGAAGCAGCCAGGCAGGCACTGTACCACCCAGCCACACACCTAGCACGATCTTTTGGCTTAATGGCTTGCTTTAGAGGAGCAGGGTTCTAGTTCTATCACATGCTTTGGGAAAGAGGAATTCTGCTTTCTATGACACTTGTCCAGAGAGAAAGAGGGAGATTGGGCAAAAGGTCTGAGACTTTGCTTCTGAGGCCTTCCAATCTCCTTTAGTGCAAAGAACTCAGCATTCCAGATATGCTTTGGGGCATCTCTTCTGAGCTCCAACACCAGCTCCCCACATGGCCATTCCTAGCAGATCCACACTTTCCTATGGCTCCCTATTGTTCTTGGAACAACTCTCAACTCCTCCCAGAAAGTGGTAGTCCTGTTCACCTGCCGTCCCTGCCAGCACCTCCCTCCCTCAGCTCCAGGTTCACCTGTCTCCTCCCTCTGCCTCCAATACTTTGTGTGCCAGCCTCAGGATCTTTGCACCTGCTTCAAAGGCAATCTGAAACTTCTTCCAGATCTTTGAGATCCACGCCTCCGCTTTACCCTCCCCCCATTCTCCTCGCTTGCATGGGGGGGGGACCCCTTTCTGTGCAGTCTCCTTTGGTGTAGAGCGCGCGGCTGTTTCCCCGTCGTTGCTGGAGCCCAGGGCGCGTTCACCTTGCACTTTTCCGCAGGCGCCCAGGCTGTGTTTGGGAGATCCTTCCCCGGTTGCTATGGGAACCGCGCTAGTTGCCCCCGCCCGCAAGTAACTCCCCCAGCGCAGCTCTCGGAGCCGCGGGCGCCTCCGCCTCCTTCCCTCCGCCTCCGCCCTCCTCTGGGAGCCCTGCCGACCTCGCTGTCGCCTGTCCTCCCTCCCTCTCTCTGCCCAGCACGTGGCACTGCCTGAAATTATCCGACTGACTCGCCAGCTTTTGACTATCCGCCTCCCCCATCAGATTCTTCGCCCCACGAGTGGTAGCAACGTGTCCCGGCTGGGTCCCCAGAGTCTGGCACACTGTGGACGTTCAAAAAATGGTTGTAGGGTAGACGAAGACTCACGTCGAGCCAAGAAACTGTGGCTCACAGAGGGCTAGAGACCCGTCCAGGGGGTACAGGATCCTGGAGAGTCAGGAAGCCACGGGTGATAAATGGGGGTAGGAGGACCGTCTGCCTGGCCCCAGCCGTCACCAACGTGCTGTGATGGGTTAGCCACACCATCTCCATGCCTCCTTGGGAGTAGTGGAAGGAGCGCTAATTATGATGGCGAGTCCTTGACACCTAAGCCCCCCATGGCCCTCTGCCTCGGGCTCCGCGGAGTGGTGCTGGCGGTTCCTCTGCCGACCGTCGGCCGGAGAGGCCCGCGGGAGAGGAAGCTGGGGGAGGGGGCGGCGGGCTGGACAGGAAATGGGAAGGACTGGCGTCCCTCCCCCCCAAGCCTGGGCCCCACGGGGAGGAGGCGGGGCTGGAGCCGGCCCTGCCCTTCCCTTCCTCTAGGTCTGTCTGGAACCCCGGCGGCTCCCGACTTCCCGCCTGCCAGACGGCCTCGGGTGGGGGTGGGGGTGGGGGTGGGGGTGGGGTATTGTCCAGTGCTAGGAGGTCGGTCTCTATGGAGGGTCAGATGGTGGTGGGTGACATCCAGGCGCGTTCTCTCTCGCGCGCGCACATACACGACACAGGAAACGTGAGCGCACAGCTCACACAATGCAGGTCCCAGGGAGCTGGCGATCCACCCACGCGCGGAGACACACATCCGCACACACTTGTGCACACAACCTGAGACTGGGCGATTTGGCCCCCTCCAAACTGCCTCGGACACAAACGCAACCGAGCCAGGGACAGCTGCGTGGATAGCTACCATTCACTTGGGTGTCTGCCAACCCCTAGGCACCACGATACACAGGTGAACTCACAGGAAACTCGGTTTACACACACCGTGGGCGTGCACAGGGAAAAAAGCATTCACGTGTCAGATATTCACGTGTCAAGCATTCAGACGCTGAAACCCCAACTTTCCACGTACCCCTGCTACCCCCACACACCCACCCGACCCGTTGGCTCACAGACCACCACTCATAACCACCAACCTGGGGGCATGCCCTGCCTCCCCACCTTCTACGCACATGCCCTGGGTCCAGGAGGGGGAATGGTGCACCCACTGTCTGCACCCCTCACTCCAGCGAGAGCAATTACAGGTGGAGTGCCCCCATTTACAGCTGGCAACACTGAGGCTGAGAAGCAGAGCCAGCGAACGGTCCCTCAGCACCTCTGTTGACACCGGTGGTGCTGTGAGGCGGTGCAGGGTGGCTCACTGCGTGTATGCTAGGAACCTCAAAAATTTATGTTTGTACGGAGCTAGGTCGCGTGTGGCTCAGTACGACCCCAGGGCTGCGATGTCATGCCCTGGGGTGATTGTGAGTAGCTGCCCGGGCCCTTTCCACGGCTGTCGGAAGCTGCAATTTAGCTTTGCGTGTCTCTGTGCAGCTGTGTGCCTGTGTACACCGTGACCTGTGTCTAGTTGTTCTGTTTCGGCCACTATTTAAGCTGTGCATACAGCAGAGTTTCGCTGGGCGAGCTGTGTGGGGTGGCCCCCACCCTTGCTGGGGGAGAGTCTCTGCAGGGGGCATACACGCAGTATGCCTGAAGCTTTATGGTCTGTCAGTTGTTGCAGCAGCTGTGCACTTTTGTCGTGTAGGGTGCTGTGTCTGAGAGTGTCGCTGCGACTGTGTGGCTGTGATCCTGGGTGTACAACAATTTGGGTGGCTAGTTCTAGCTGGTGTGTGTGTGTGTGTGTGTTAGCCGCGCCCCCACCCCCCGCAGCGAGCACTGCGCGTGCGCGCCCGTCCCGCGGTCCCGGCGGCGGGACCCACCCGCGCGCCTGTCATTGCCCCTTTAAGAGCGGAGCCCGCGGGCGGCGGGCGGGGGCGCGCGCGGCAGGAGGAGGGGGCGCGCGCTTCCCGGAACAGCCCGCGCTGAGGGAAGAGAGGAAAAAAATAAAACCCGCGGCTGGAGCCGAAGCTGGAGTCACCGCTGCCGCCGCCGCGGCCGTCTGGAGCTCCCCCGCGCGGAAGATGCCCGCGGTGCCCGCCCGGGGCTCGGGGCGGTGAGGCCCGGGGCGCGGGGTAGCTATGGCGACGGCGAGCGCGGCCCCCGGTGCCGCCTGACAGGTGTGGGCCCCGGCGGCGGCGGCGGCGCGGAGCAGCATGTACGCCAAGGGGGGCAAGGGCTCGGCCGTGCCCTCCGACAGCCAGGCCCGCGAGAAGTGAGTCGGCGGGCCGGGGGCCGGGGGCGGGGCTCGGCGTCCGCGCCGCTCCCGCGGGCTCCGACGCGGACCGGCCCCGCACCGGGCACGTGGGCGCGGGCTGCTACGCGTGCGGAGCCCGGGCGCGCTCGAGGGGTCGCGAGAGACCCGAGGGGCGCGAGATTTGAGGGGGCGCGCGAGACCCGAGGGGCGCGAGACTTGCGCGGGCGCGCAACTTGCGCGGCCGCTCGAGACCCGAGGGGCTTGTGAGATAAGCGGGAGCGCGCGAGACTCGAGGGTCCTGAGGGGCTTCTCAGGGGCGCGGGAGATCCGAGGGGGGCGAGATTTGAGGGGCGTGCGAGACTCGAGGGGATGCCAGAGACCTGGGCGGCTGGAGGGGTCGCGAGATTTGCGGGGGGTGGGCCCGCGAGACCCAAGGGCGCGAGATTTGAAGGGGCGCGCGAGATCCGAGCAGGACTTGAGGGTCGCGAGACCTCCCCGTGGGGCGAGGCTGGAGTACGCCAGGTTGCGCCCTCTGGGGACCGGGGTTTCCAGGTTGCGCCCTCTGGGGACCGGGTTTCGTAGCTTCTCGCAGTCCCTCTCGGAAGTTTCCCGGGTGGGTGAGACTGGTCTCTCGGAACCCTGGCGCCTTGGGAAAAGCTGGAAAGGAGAGGGGAGTCCTTGAGGGGTGCACAACCACCTGTCCAGCTCTGCTGGGGCAGCTGCGCTGGGCGGGGGCCTAGGTGCGTCCCTTGGGGTGGCCACACGGTTCAAGGTTCGGAAGCCTCCCGGAGCCACGGGGCTGAGCCCCTCCCCCAATGCCGCAGAGTGCGTTCCCAGGGGCCACCCCTTGGTCTGGGCGGGTTTCTGAGCGATGGCTACCAGGTGCTCTCAGGCTGATAGAATCCCTGGGTGGGGAAGCAGCTGAGTGCCCCTGCAGCTAGGTTGCTGAGCTCGAGATCTGGCACTGCCCCATTCCTGTTCTGTGGCTCCCAGCTAGGGAGTGCCCCCAGCCAGGCTGACTTTCCTTCCCTGAGCAGTGCATTCTTTTTTAAGGGTTTGGGGAGCTTTGAAAGGTACTTGGAGCCATGACAGCAAGGGCACCCAGTCCTCTGCAGCACTGTGAAAGTGTCAAAAGTGAAGGGCCTGCCACAGTGTCGGCAGATTCACAGGATCCTAGAGGTTGGACATCTAGGGTAGCCTCCATGTGGAGTAGCCCACCTAAGCAGGAGAGGATGCTGAGTCATCAGGAAGGGGTCCCATGGAAGTCTCGGAGTGAGGATTGAAGAGAAGCTTGGACAGTGAAGAGAAGCCCTGAATGCTGGCTGACTCTGTCCCCCTCTTCTGCCTTCTCCTGGACTGATGTTGGAATCCCAACTCCCCTCCACAAAGAGAAGGACACACACTCTGCCTAGTCTCTGGGTCACATTGGAGAAGTGGTTCTTTGGGCCAGAAGATGCTAGGCAGTGACCTCTCCTTTCAGGCCTGTCTTTCTCATCTGTGCAGTTAGGAAGCTGAGCTCCATTTGCAAGAAGCTTTAAACCCAAAGACTTTTTGAAACTGGCACCTGGCTGTTGCTGCTGGGTCTGAAGGTGATCACCCACCAGTGGGGATTTTTCACGTGTATATCAGATCTGCACTAGGATAGGTCTTGGGGTGTGTTGGTCGGCAAGGCAAACTTGACCCTGAAGAAGGCCACATCTTTAAGTCAGGTATTCAGTTACCATGGGACAGACACAGGGTTTGAAGAAGTTAGGGATAGCGAAGGTAGGAGAGGGAGGAGGCAGCAGATGGCAAAGCACATGCCAAGGCCCTGAGCTGGGAATAGGCACTGGAGCCCAGGGAGGCTTGTGTTTGCAGAAGTGCACTCAGGCCCCCTGTGCAGTGGGGCTGTGGAGGGTCAGGAAAGAGGCCAGCAGCCTGGGGAAGGCAAGCACAGTTCTCTGGAAGATAACCTTGAGCAAGGGAGGAGCTAAGAGAAGGGAGGGATCATAGGACTGAGGTGGGAGCGGTGGGTTTGGGGTGGGTTCTTGACCCTGTCAGACATCCATCCGGGGGAATGATGGTTCTTTGAACCTGCCTCTGTTCTGGGTTGGGGCTGGTAGAGGGATTTATCCCCAATTTTTACCCCTCTCCCTGCAGTTGCCTTACCCCCTGGCCTGCCCCACAGAGGTGCTCAGAGGACGCCAGCATCAGGATTGACAATGCTTACAAGTGGCTCGGCACCTGGTGGGGAGGCTGAGGTTCCATCTTGAGCCAGAGCCACCCTGTGCTCACCCGTTTCACCCAGAGGGTGTTGTGTGCGTTGCTCTGCTGCTGAAGAGAGTGTGCAGATCAAGTGGTCACATTCCTCAGCTCATGGATGGGGATGGGCCTGGGGTCCTTGGAGAGCAAGTGGCAAGTACCAACAGTCTAGCTTCTTGGCTGCAGGAAAGCTCTCAGAAGTGTGGGGGGGGTGCCTCACTAGAGAGGGGGACTGGTAGCATAGCGCCTCAGTTCCTCATCTAGAATGTGGAGGGCCTCCCATTTGTAAATTTTTTTTTTGTACCAGGAATTGAACCCAGGGGTGCTCAATGTCTGAGCCCCATTCCCAGCCCTTTTTATATTTTATTTAGAGACAGAGTCTTACTAAGTCGCTTAGCACCTTCCCGTGCTGTGGTTGGCTTTGAACTCTCCATCCTCCTGCCTCAGTTTCCCACACCACTGGGATTACAGGTGTGCACCACTGCACTGGCACCTTTTGGAATTCTTGGGACTGGGTGAAAGACTGAAGGCAGAGCACCCACACCAGCAGCCCTCACTCTAAGGAAATACCAGCTGTGGCCGAGCCACTTCCTGTCTCTGGGTCTTGATTTCCTCTTCCGTGAAGTGGGGTGAAGAGGGCTCTGCTGCCTCAGTCCCAGCATTGACTCAGTCCCTGACTCCCCAGCACTGGGTTCCCCTGCTCAGAGCCTCCCGCCTCCTGAAAAGTCCTTTCCTTCCTTCTCTCTCTGGTCCCCACACTGAGTCCAGTTGGGCTCCCCGTGGAGCCTTTGGGTCCTAAAAATGGACTGAGCACCTGCTGGGTACCTCCTAGATGGTGGGGTCCCTACCTTGGCTCACAGGGGTGACCACAGAGTTCAAGGTTGCCGTGGTTAACTCTTACCCCTCAGGCATATCCTTGAGCCCTTTAGAGCTGCCAGGTAGGTTTAGAAGAGTCCCTTAAATGACAGTCAGGGTTGGTGTCCCTGGGTATCTTGTTTTCCTCTGAGTTTGGTTTTGAAATGGGCATGTGGACCTGGATAGTTAGATCACTGGGTCAGAGCAAAAGAGGGTCTTTAGAAAGGAGCCTGAGACGAAGCCCTCCAACTGGGGAAGAAAAGCCAGGGGTGGGATTGGTGACAAGGTGCTGCTGAAGGTCAGGCCCCTTGGGCTAGCAGAGGGAAGGGAGGACTCCAGTTGGAGGGCTGGAGGGTCACTTTGGGAGCTGCAGTGGGATTTGGTGATGGATTGAAGGAAGACACAAGTCTTTGGAGTAGAGGGCGTTTCTCAGCCCCTAGCAGAGCGTACGTCCAAGGGGATGCTGGGTAGGGGCCCCCATTATGGTAACTCTTGATAATTAAAAAAAATTCTCTATAATTGTGGTAGTTCTGGGTAATTACGGTGGTGGTTGGTGGCCCATTTCTGTCCACAGGTGGTAATGCTGTATGCACCATGTCTCCATGCCTGGCCAGCCCTGTGCCTGTGGCTCGGGGTCACTTCTCCCTCAGGGGATGAGGAGCTGCGCCTGGGGCTTCCCCTCTCCTGGGCCTCCAGTGCTCCTCCTGTCTATCCGCCCTGGGTGGCCACCCCTGGGTGGGGCAGGGCTCTCAGGTCTTGGAGCCAGTCCTGGGAGTAGCTGCGGATTTGGATCCCGCACCAGGCCCTTGAGACCTGAGCCAGTGAGTCCCCTGCCCCTCAAAGCCACATTCTAGAGGGTCTGCAGCAGTGAGCAGAGAGCTGGGTCAGATGGCGAGAAACAGGATGATGGGAAAATGGAGCAGAATCGGGGTCAGGTGTCCCAGGGAAGCCTCTGATGGTGACCCTGGAGTCTGGTGGAAGTGCCCCCGGGAGGTGGCAGCCTGCACGAAGGCCATGGGGTAGGAAGCAGCCAGTTTATGTAGTGGGGGGCTCTGGAGGGTCTGAACAGGAGTGGCTGGGGAGCACAGAGGTGCCAGGGAGGAGCAGCCCCTGCTGGGGTTCTGCCACAATCCCTGTGAGAGACCTGGGCCTGGGGTGTGGGCGGGACACAGGGGGCTTCCCTCAGGTTTGGTTACTTGCAGCAGGGGTCTCGTCATGTGACCCAGGCTGTCCCTGCCCCTGTCTTGAGCCGTCCTGCTGCAGCCTTCTGATCAGCTAGGACTACAGGCCACCACGCCTGCTTTGGTTTTGTCTTTAATGTAGTAAATGCGGTGTGTTGGGGTACAGCCGAGGGGAGCCCAGTGGACACCTGGTCCAGGCCAGGGCTCCTTTGAATTTGGGGGCACTGAGTTCTGGCGACCAGCGTGGGAGTGGAAGGAGTCGCGCCGGGCAGCTGGCAGAGGCAGACACAATGACGGGGACGGGGCAGGTGGTGGGGAGGAGCGCGGGGCTGCCGGCCGGGCCTCTGGCTGCCAGGCGGAGAGTGGAAGCCTGAGTGGAGTGGGGACGGGGCTGGAGGTGGGTCCTAGCTGTTTGGGAGCGTCACCAGATGTCTTCAGATCAGGAAGGGAGGCCACCAGGGAGAGGGGAGGATGTGGCCTGGGGTGGAGCAGGCAGGGCGTGGAGGCACTGGAGGATGCAGGGTGGGCAGGGGGCTCTGGGGCCTCTGGGCCGTGGGACAGTGTGTGGAAAGGGGATGGAGAAGGACATCGTAGGAATGCTCAGTGGACCTGCTGATGACAGGGTCACTTCCTTAGGAATATCTTGAGACCCCAGGAGAGCGTGTGCTCCTGGGGTGTGTGTGGTGGAATGCGGCCACCGCAGGACCTGTCCCCATGCTGTCCTGCTGCCCCTTCCTGCACCTCCCGGGCAGCCTCCCTGGGTCCCCCCAGCCCTTGTCTTTCTGTCCATCTCGGCGTCTCACCACCCGCAGCCTTTGTGCCCCCTGCTCTGATGCCCAGAGCCAGGCCTGTAGGCCTCGAGCCTCGTGGGGCGAGGAGGGTGGGGTGGCGGGAGCTCCCCAGTCTGGTGGGCTCTCCACAGACCTCCCCCGTTGGCCATTGCGGGCATCCTCCACTGACGGGAGTGGGTCTGTCAGATGCTGGCTGCTTATGAAGGCTCAGGAAGCCTCTAGAAGTAAGTTGGCTGATAACCCTCGAGGCCAAGATGCCAAGGTGACTGGTCAGAGCAAGGGTGGACATAGAAACGGGGTGCCAAGTCAGAATCTGGGCCTGGAGGTGCTTTTGAGTGGGGTAATGATGTGACAGTGACTGTGGCCTGTCTGGGGGACCACACACTGGGACATGTCCCCTCTGTCCCATCCCTGCACCTTAGGTGGCCATCACCACGCACTAGGGGAGGTGTGAGCTGCAGAGACCCTCCTGGCCCTTCGCCAGCTACACCCCGACCTGAGACAGAGTGTCCTTTGCTGGCCTCCGCCCCTTTCTGCCTCCCCGCCGCCTGCCTTCCCTGCTCCTCCGGGAGTCTGGGGCTGGAGGCCTCTCCTCATGTTTGCTGGTTATTGGGGGAACGGACAGATGGATGGAGAAAGGACAAGTGTCCAGGGCAGGTCAGAACTCGAGAGGGGAGCCCCCACATTCATTTCCTAGTAGTTGGGCCTCGGCAGAAGCGCTGGAGCTGGGGTGGGACTGAGTAGATGGGGTACGTGGGGGGAGTGCAGGGACATGAGGTGGAACTCAGAGCGAGGCCAGGAGGGCCGCAGACTGCAGAGCATGAGTCAAGGGAAGGTTATTTTAGGATGGGGCTGTCGGCCAGGGGAGGGCGGCCGCCGAGTGGGGAGCAGACAGCTGAGGCTGCTGGGAGGCCTGCGGCCAGCCGCCTCCTGTCCCTGCCCACCCTGATGGCGTGGGGAGGCCATGAGGGCCGGGACTGGGAGTGGGAGGACCCTGAGGTACCCAGGGAGTCAGGAGGGGCTGGAGCCCGGGGATTAGGTGACACTGGGGGCGGGGGTGGGGGCCCCTGTCCCTACTGAACCTCCTGTGGAAGGTGGCCTGGGAAGCCAGTGAGTGACCTGGCTTCTTTCTGTGACCTGCAGAGGGCAGTGCTGGGGCCATCTGTCTGGGCGAATAGTGGCTGAACCCTTGTTTTCAGGGTGAGCAGTGACTGAGGAAGAGTCCAGGTCTCCCAGCTGGGGACCCGTGCAGGACACTGGGTGTCAGAGTAGCACCATAGTGAACCTGCGCACCTCTGGCTCTGTCTCTGCGGGAGGGTCAGGACTGTCTTGTTTGGGAGTCGGCAGAAAAGTTGCAGCTACTTCCTGCTGGTGACCCCGAGGGAGGGGAGGGGACCCAGGGACACCAGGGAGTGGGAGCCTTCCTGGCAGGCACAGCTGGGATGGGGTAGGTAGTGTGGCCCTGGGCACGTGACACAGCTGCCCACCCAGAGTCGCTCCCTGGTGCCCCATCAGGAGAAGCATCGGGAAGCCTGTTTCTGGGTGGAGGTACCCCAGGGCCGAGGTCACCTGGGTGTCAGTGTTGGTAGGATGGGGCGGGGCTTGGTCCACGAGGGCGTGCTGAACTGAGCCAAACTGGGCCTCGAGTTGAGGGGGGGCGATGCCCAGGGATCCTGCAGGTTGGGTGTCGGTGGACCCTAGGAATTGGCTGAGCTGAGCAAGAGGGTTGAGGACGCCATCTTCTGGGAGGGATGGAGGGATGGGGACACAGCAGGGGGGTGGGCTTGGGGAGGTACTGGCCATGGACCCTGCCCACCTCTCCCGCCCTCCCCGCAGGCTGGCGCTGTATGTGTACGAGTACCTGCTGCACGTTGGTGCCCAGAAGTCAGCCCAGACCTTTCTGTCAGAGGTGAGCTACACGCCAGCCTGGCCTTTCCCTCTGCCACACCGGGGTCCTCTGCCCTGTTTCCACTGGGGCATCAGTTGGGTGGCTCCTTCGGTGGCCCAGGGAACCGAGGGCAAGGATGGGGTCAGGAACGTGAGCTGGCATCCATCCCGGCCTGTGGCCCTGGATCCATGTGTCCACCTCAGTGGCCCTGGTTGGCCGGCTTGCCCCCTTGCTCTGATCTGGTGGCCCCCCCAGCCCCAAATGCCCGGGCTCCATGGGCTGGGTGGCGGGAGGTTGGCCTGGGCCGCAGCCTCTCAGCCGCCTCCCCTCTTCCCTGCAGATCCGATGGGAGAAGAACATCACGCTCGGGGAGCCCCCAGGGTTCCTGCATTCCTGGTGGTGGTGCGTGTGGTGCTGCTGGGGGCAGAGAGGGGACAGGGACCAACGGGATGTGGCGCAGTCATCGTCCCCTCTGCTGCCCACAGTGTGTTCTGGGATCTGTACTGCGCAGCGCCAGACCGCAGAGAGGCGTGCGAGCACCCGGGCGAGGCCAAGGCCTTCCAGGACTACGTGAGTACTGTCCCGGCAGGGGTGGGCACGCCTGGGCTCTGTGGGCCTGGGGGGACCTGGAACCTTGTCCCTGCGCACCCCCTTCCACTGCAGCCAGCTCCTGAGGGTCCTGTAGCCCCCCCAGCGTGTGCTGACTTCCTGCCTCTCTGCTCAGCTGGGTGGGGTGGGCGCCAGCCTGTCCCTGCCACCCCAGACTCTGGGAGCGCACGTGCTAGTAGGGGAGGCAGTGGGGCCCTGTCCCCACAAGCTCTAGAGGTCATCATCAGGGCACTTCCTGGCCCCTATGGCGTGGGCTCCACCTCTCGGCGTGTTTCCGGTTGGGTTGTGGGGCTCCGATGCCTGTCTGCAGAGGAGGCTGAGGCGTATCTTGTCATTATGGGGCTATGGATCTGAGGATGTGCCCTCACTGGCTGGCGGCTGGGGACAGTGCAGCTGACCTCCCATCCACGCTGGGGGACTTCGCTGCAGGGTGGAGCTCAGTGCTTAGCTCCTCAGGTCCCTGAAGCCAGCTGGGGCACACTCCGCATGGAAGCAGGGCCATACTGATGGCCTCCCAGCATCACTGTCACCTACCGAGACTCTTAGTGCCCCTGTGCGGTACCCCTAACTCTGCCGGGGGAGTGGGTGGAGGGAGGGTGCCTGTCCTCCGCAGTGGTGCTGCAGCCCCCCCTGCTCCCGCTGGGGTCTAGCAGCCTCCCCAGGGGCCTTCTGATCCGCCACTCGGCAGAAGGCACAGGCCGGTTTCCATGGCAGCACCAGCATTGGGAGCAGCTTGGGCCAGGAGAGGGGGGTGGGGGCTCCCCAGGCCTGGGTGAGGGTCTCTGTGGCCAGGGGCTGGGTGCGTGACTGCCAGACTGCCACCCTCCGCAGTGACAGGGCGTCCTATATGAACTCCCAAGGGGGCCCCATCCTCCCGGCCCGAGTGAGGATTCTGTGTGCCCCTCCCTGCTCCAGGGCTCCCCAGCCGACCTTGGCGTCTCCAGGAAACGCTAGCGTGCCCAGCCCGTCGTCATGACAACACGGGCAGGGCTCTGGCGCCTCTTTGCCTCTTTGGGATGATTGACGTGGGGGGTCTGGCTCGCTGGGGCTACCAGCTAGGGAGGCAGGCGAATCAGCCCAAGATTAACCCCTCAGGGCCTAGGAGTTGGGGGCACAGGTGCCACCCACCCCCTCACCTTGTGGTCTGTGGTCTGGGCCCAGCCAGAGTCCACCTCCCCTCCCTTCCTAGCTGGGCCTCCCAACCCGGATTGCCCAGGTGTCCCCTGGGGGGAGAGGGGGGCCTGGCTTCCTGGGGCTGGACTGATCCCAGGGGAGGTGCCCCCTGGCAGCCCGAGTGTGCTGAGCATGCAGACCCCTGAGGTCCCAGAGGCAAGCTGGCAATTTGGAACTGGAAACCCGAGACGAGTTGGGGGCTGAGGCCGTGACCCTCCTCAGATCACGTGGCTTTCCAGTGATTTGTCGGGGGCTCTGGGACGCTCTCGTATCCACATGCGCTTGGAGAAGGGACCAGCTGTGGCCCACAGAGTGAGGGTGAACCAGAGACCCCGCTCCTAGCCGGCCAGTCAGGGCCAGCAGACAAAGCACCTTCCTCTCCGCACCCAAGGGGCTGCAGGGCCACAGGGACAGGGCACCCCTTTCTCTGGGGGTTTTGACCTGGTGGAGGAGGGGGATGTGGACAGATAAGGGCCAAGCAGCCAAGAGGGGAGACCTGCTTGCTCAGGGACTCATGTGCTGGCCTCCCAAGCCCTCCTCCCTTGTCCCCTTCTCCACATCTGGTCCTCGGGCTGCGGAGACAGACTGGTATGGAACTCGGAGCTGATTAGGAACTGGCCTGTCAGCCTGTCCTCTGCCAGCTTAGGGCCTGCCCAGAATCTCAACCTCACAGACACAGGAGCCCTCATCTCTAGCACCCCTTCTTCTCCCCTCCCCACCTAAGGAGCATCCGGATGCCTGGGGACCCCACCCTAGTCCTGCTCTTCCTCCTCCATCCTGGGGGAAGAGATTGGTGGGGGGGTGGGGGGTGGGGGGTCTGCATAGCAGTTTCAAGGAGCCTCCAGGACCCGGTTGGACTTTGTGTGTGCTTGGGGTGTTGGGGATGGGCTTAGGGGCCCGAGTTGCCCTGCCAGTCAGGAGGATAGATAGGGCCAGTTGGGTGGACCTGGAGAGCAGGGCCAGCCCGGGGCCACCCTGTCCAAACGCCTTTGCTACTGAATGAGGCCCTCACTGGGGTCTGGGGCAGCGGAATCCTCAAGTGGAACCTCACTGAAGGCTGGGACCACTTTGCAGCGACGCTTAGCTGGGGTGGGGCTGGGGCAGCTGCTCTTCCCTCACTCGGACCCCCCCCCCCAGACTCCCCGTGGGCTGACAATGTCAGCTGGACTGGGTTCAAGTCCAAACTTGATCACCTACAGCTGCCTGTCCCATGGCCACCTGCATATAGGAGGGGAAGACACCCCGTGCAGGAAATGTCCTGACCTGGCCCTCACCGTGTCTCCCATCCCTGCAGAGTGCCGCAGCGGCCCCCAGCCCGGTGATGGGGAGCATGGCTCCCAGTGATGCGATGGCCGCAGGCCCCATGGCGCCCGGATTCTTCCAGGTATGGCCAGGCCTGGGACTCCTTTTCCCCCAACCCTGGGTGGGCATGTATCTGAGGCGGGGGTGGAGGGTCAGGGTACCTGTTCTGGACTTGGCAGAGCCAGCAAGGGAGGGACCTAGGTGCGATGGTGGGAAGGGGAATGTCTGCACAAAGGAGCACAAGGTGGTTGGGATGCAGTGTCCACCAGTGGGCCTAGTGACCACCAGTGACCCAAGTCCCACCTATGACCCTTCCAGCAGGGCTCCCTGCTATAGGCTGGCCCACCCCCCTGCCTCCATGGAGTCCCTCCCGCAACCCACCTGGTTCTGTCCTCTTAGGGCCCCTTTGGCTCCCAGCCACCCCCCCACAACCCCAACGCCCCTATGATGGGGCCTCACAGCCAGGTAAGGACCTGTGGCCCTGCCCAGCCACGCACAGGCGCACACATACCTCCCCCTCCCCCAGCCCCCAGTGCACTGTCTAGTCCAATGACCACGTTTTTTGTTAGCTAGAGGAGGGGCCTGTCCAGATTGGGGGTCTAGGCCTAGGAGGGACTGGGGAGCTTTGGGGGAGGAGGGTGGAGGTGGCGCTGATCCCCCACCCACCTCTTCCAGCCCTTCATGTCACCGCGGTTCCCAGGGGGCCCCCGGCCCACCCTGAGGATGCCGAGTCAGGTGAGAGAGGGATGAGGGGAGGGGGCAGCAGTGGGCCAGGGCGGGGGCAACCCACTCAGTGCAGCCGTGCCCCTTCGCAGCCTCCTGTGGGCCTCGCAGGCTCCCAGCCCCTCCTCCCTGGCGCCATGGACCCCTCCCCGCGCACTCCCGGTGAGTAGGGAAGCTCTCAGGACCGACTCCCAGCGTCCCCACCTGGCTGCCTCACAGTGCACACCCACATTCGCGTCCACACTGGGGAATGGCCCAGATCTGAGCCCCCTTCTTTCTGCTCCCACCCCAGGGCACCCCAGTATGGGCGGCCCGATGCAGCGGGTGACGCCTCCCCGGGGCGTGGCCAGCGTTGGGCCCCAGGTAAGGGCCAGCGGAGATGGGGTGAACCTGAGGGGCTGTCCCTCGGCGGTGCTGCCCTTCACAGCTCCTTTGCCTTCACAGGGTTACGGAGGTAGCATGAGGCCCCCGCCCAACTCCCTTGCTGGCCCAGGTCTGCCTGCCATGAACATGTAAGGCCCTGAGTGTGTCCCCAAGCATGTGTCCACCCGAGTAAAGGGGCAGTATCTGCAACGGCAGGACAGCCTAGACGGTGCTAGTCCATTGGCACTGTTTAGGTGGGAAACTGAGGCCCAAGCAGCAGCCAGACCCTAGTTAGCGGTTGGAATTTGAGCCCGGGGAATTGGCCCAGGTGACTACCTCTCAGGCGACCTATGCGTCCTCTCTGGAGGCAGATAAGAGCAGGGTGGGATGAGTGACTGCTGTACCATCCTGGCCTAGCCCCAGCGTCTATCACCATCTCTTCCAGGGGCCCAGGAGTGCGAGGCCCTTGGGCCAGCCCCAGTGGCAACTCGGTGAGTCGGGGGCAGGGTGGGGTGCGTTGGGTGGTGGGGTGCACGGGGTGGTGGACCCGCAGGGCAGAGGCGAGGAGCCTGCCCATGCCAGCTACTCACAGCTGCTCCTGTCCCCAGATTCCCTACTCCTCCTCATCCCCCGGCAGCTACACGGTGAGTCGGGGTGAAGTTGGGCAATATGCAGACTGGGGCGCGGGCTGGCAGCCAGGGGCCTTTCTCACGGTCCTCTCCCTCCGTGTGCAGGGACCCCCAGGAGGAGGTGGACCCCCTGGAACACCCATTATGCCCAGCCCTGGAGGTATGGCCTGGGCGGTGATGGGGGCCGGTGCATGGGGGAAAAAGCCCATTCACACCCCACCGATCGTGGCCCTGCTGTCCCTCCAGACTCCACGAACTCCAGCGAGAACATGTACACCATCATGAACCCCATAGGGCCGGGCGCCGGCAGAGCTAACGTGAGTGGGGGTGCGGGGCTAGGATCCTAGCTGGGGGGTGACCCCGTGGGGGGAAGTGATGAGGTCGGTCAGGCCCATGCTGCTCTGTCCCCACAGTTCCCTCTCGGCCCTGGCCCGGAGGGCCCCATGGCCGCCATGAGCGCGATGGAACCGCACCACGTGAACGGATCCCTGGGTGAGTGGCACGGGCCCCGCCCCTGCCGAGCCACTTCGTGGGCCTCGAGCGCCCCCTGGCGGCGGCAGCCCTCCCACCCGCGGGAGCTGTTGAGGCTTCTGGGCCGTGTCCGGGGCCGGGCGCATCCCGCCTTTAAACCACTGTCGCCCCAATCCGGAGGCCCTGCACATGCCCTTTCTGGGGACCCAACGGCGAGCGTCGTCCGGGACTGGGGGAGGCTCGGGGAGGGCCTCGGGCCGCAAGCTCCGGGCGCGGGTGGGGAGGCGGCGGCTCCGGAGTCCAGCAGGCTGGCGCAGGCGCGTCTGAACCGCGTGTCGGTCTGTCGTTCTCAGGCTCGGGCGACATGGACGGGTTGCCGAAGGTGAGGGCTGCGCTCCTGCAGGGGGCGAACCGGGCGGAGGTCTTGGGTGGGGGCGGGCAGGGATTCGGCGCTGACGGTGGCCGCCCCTAGAGCTCCCCCGGTGCCGTGGCCGGCCTGAGCAACGCCCCGGGCACCCCGCGGGACGACGGCGAGATGGCGGCCGCCGGGACCTTCCTGCACCCGTTCCCGAGCGAAAGCGTAAGCGACTGCGTCGACTCTCCCCCCGCGGCGGCGTCGGGCCGGAGGGGCCTGGCGGGCAGGCCCCGGCGGGGCGGCCGGGGGGCCAGAGCAAGACCGTGACCGCGGCGGGCCAGGTGGGGGGGGCGGCCGCGGCATCCTTTCCTCCACTCCCCGCCCACTCCCGCCCCTGCCCTCCCCCCAAGAGCCCCAGGACGGCCTCCCCCTGCATCCCGCCCTGCCCTGCCCCGCCCCTCCCCAGGTCGGCCCTGCTCTTCCCTGTCTCCCTTTCTCCTGGGGGGAGGTGGGGGAGGGTCCCAGCCGAGGCCAGAACTGAGCCCGCCCCCCGCGCGCCGCCTCCTCTCTCTGCAGTACTCCCCAGGGATGACCATGAGCGTGTGATGGGGCTGTGGCCCCAGCCCTCTGCCCACCTCGGCTTCTGCTCAGTGCCCCTACCCGGGGCGAGGGTCTGAGGTCACACCTCTGGCACCTGGACACCTGGCCAACCAGGCTTGGACAGCTGGGAGGCCCCACAGGACTTTCTCATTTTATAAAAACGCAAGGACCTCAGAGACGTTGTTTCCCACGTGGGCCCTTCCCGCGATTCGCGATTCATCAGAGGGAGGCTCCTTGGTGGCCTCCTCTCTCCAGGACAGCAAGGGTGGACCCTTCCAATAAATGTAACTGGTTTTGGTTTTTGGTAGCCGGGTCTGGATTCTCACTTGGGCCTGGACCTGCAGCCACATCCTCCACCCTGCTGTTCTGCCACCCCCCACGGCTGGGAGGTTCCTGGGAATTGGGACAATAACTGTGAAGAGTGGGTAGGAGGTTGACCAGCTAAAAAGAGGGTGGGGTAGAAGCTAGGTGTCTAGCTGATGCTGGACAGGTTTGGGGTGACCATAGGAGCGGGTGACCATCGGACACACCACACAGGTGGAGGCTGGTCTGATAGGGGCATTGACTTTATTTAGTCTTTGCGGGACCTCGAAAGGATGGACCCAGAGGGGTGAGAGGAGGGGCTGGGGGTCTGCAACTGCAGCTTCAAGCTGTGGGCATCTGGGGTGCCTCTGCCTGTGGGTGCCCATTGGCATCGCCGGTGTAGCCGTTGGGGGCAATGGGCGCTGGTCCTTTCTTGCAAGGCAGAGGGCAGGCGGTAGCCACAGAACCGACTCGCTTGACGCCCAGGCCTGGGCGCTCCATCTTGTGCTCCAGGAGCATGTGGTTTTGTGGGGGGAGCCCCACACAGGCCCTGGGGGACAGGGCTGGGGTCAGCAGGGCCAAACCTCCACACTGGTAACCTCTGCAGCCTCCAGCCCCCTAGCCCTGTGCACAGCCCCATGAGTGGATACGTGTGCCGTGGGTGGGAGCCTCGGGACCCAGCGCACCTGAGGATGTTCTCTATGCAGCTGCGCTGGCGGAAAAGCGCATTGACCACCGGGCTGCCTGGGGGCACAAGTGGAGCCTTGAAGAGGAAACTGAGGAGTGATAGCACAGGGTGGAAACCCTGTGGCTCTGGGTCTGTGTTGGTGGTGAAACTCACGCGCTGGCACAGCTCGGTGAGCAGTGCCAGGTCCAGCATGATTGGGGCTGCCAGCAGCGAATCCTGTGGGGTGGGCGGGTCAGGAGGCTGTGGGGCGGGTGGGGCTTCCTATTCGGCTCCGCCCACTGTCTCTCCCACTGTACCTCACAAGTATTGTGCAGCACCAGTGTATTGGTTCCACCAAGCATCAGCTCCGATGTATACTCGTCCAGCGCACGCTTGCTGTCACCCACATAGGGCACATATTTGATGACCACCTAGGGTGCAATACCAGGTCGCAAGGGCCCCTGCCGCCACCAGCCAGAAGCCCCCCACCTGGCTCTTGTGGACCCCTACGCACACAATGGTCAGGCGCCTCTCCTGGAGCGTACAGCACTGGGTTACTCTGCACCATGTCGTCTACCACGCTGCTCTTGGACACCTCCTTTGAGCGGAACTGCTGAGGCGCCGAGAGGTTCTGCCCATCGTTGTTGCCCAGGTGGTTGTAACTCACGATGGACATGGTCTGGTCAAAAGAGGTGGCAATGAAGCCCTAGGCCCTGCAGGGAACTAGGTAGGTCCTTCAGGTCCAGGTTCCTTTCCTGCATTTTTCACCTCCCCAGAGAGACTTACCTTGAGGCCAGAGCCAATGAGGAAGTCCACGAGCACAGACTTGACCTTCGTCTGGCCTGATTTGAAGTCATCTCCACCCACAAACACACGATGCTGCGCCGCCAGCTCAAGCGCACCGGGCACCAGTGTGTTCTGCGGGGATCCATTGAGGAAGGCGCAGCCCTCCAGGATGCTGGCCACCGCAAAGAGCGTGGATGGTGACACCTCTCCGCCAAGCTGCGGGTGTGGGTGGGCAGTCAGCAAGAGGGGGGTCCAAGGAACTGGCCCTGACCCTACTGCACCCTGGCATGTGCCCACCTGGATGGTGTGCAGCAAGTTCTCGGCTGTGTCGTTGAGACCAGGAACCACTTCGCAGAAGCGCTCTGTGTTCGCTGTCCACAGCACGATGACCTTATCCAGCCCAGCGCTGGATCGGAAGTCTCGGATGTCCCTGCGGATCTGCTCCAACTGCAGGGAGGGTGAAGGAAGGCTAGCGGGGAGGTTGTACAAACTCCAAAGTACTAAGTGGGGCTTGGGTGCCCAGGATAGGAGCATGAGGCAAAAGGGAGTGAACAGGTGGCAGGGAACAAGGGATGCGGGATGAAGCAACACCTGCTGTGCACGTGTGCCTGGGATGAGGTTGTCAGCACGCGCATTTTGGTTGGCCGCGATGAACTCGGGGATGTAGACCGAGGGCCGTGGACGCAAGGCCTCCATGTGCGGCCACAGTTGCTCCTGAAGGCCCCAATCCAGTACCTTCGCGCGCCGCATAGCCTCAGCCAGGTTCAGCGACGAGATATCCCAGCCTGCGGGGGACCCTCACGCTTGGCCCAGCCCTGATCCCCAGGTGCTCCAGACCCCACCTCCCATCCCGCCCAGGGCTCCGCCCACCATCAAACACCAGGTCGTTGGGCGACACCATGGGCAGCAGCGCACTGAAGGGCACGAACACCTCCTGGCCCTCAGCATCCAGACCCAGGTTCACGGTACCGGCCTGAGTCAGCGAGCCGTAGTAGTTGGCTTCCTGGGTGGGTGGGGGGAACCAGACACAGCGGGGTAAGGCGCAGGCGTGGCGAGAGGAGGGCCCGCGGCCTGCCCGGGGCCCCGCCCCGGCCCTCAAGCTCCGCCCGGCCCTCCTGCGCTTTCAGCTCCGGGCTCCAGGCCGGGGCGGAAGCCTCTCCTCCCCAGCGGGTTCCCGGAGCCGGCCATGCCTAAGGCTCCGCCCCCACTAGGCTCCTGCGGCTCTCCGCCCACCTTCTGGAACGCCCAAGGAGGTCCGCGGCAGCCAGGCTCCGCCCCCAGCAGGCCCCCTCCCCCGAGGAACCCGCCTCCCAAGGCCCCGCCCCCGCCCGCAGGAACTCCGACCCAGCCCCCCTCCGCGGCCGGGCCTCCCCGGCCCCCCACCTTGCGACCAGCGCGCGTGGGCCAGGACAGGCGCAGTCGGTTGGCCAGCACGGCGGCGGTCAGCGTGGAGCCGTTGTTCCCGCCCCAGCCGACGAGCATGACCCCGAGCCGGGGCACCTGCCGGGCAGTCCGGAAGGTGAAGCGCGTGGACGTGGGGCGCACCTGGGGGCAGGCGGCGTCGTAAGACTGGAGCCCCAGCCTCTTCTCCCCTCAAGGCAGGGAAAGGGTTGGAGATGTTGGACAATCCCCCGCCATCATCTCCCTGGTGTCCCCAACCCAAGGCTCCTGGACCCCTCGCCCACCTTGAGGACACCGCCCTCACGGCTGACGCGCGTCGTCCGGTACTCGTACTGAGCCTCGATGGCCTCGGGGCTGTAGACCACGTCCGGGCTCTCGACCACGAACTGGGGGGCTGCCTCCATCGCGGCGACCTGGGGCCCGGGTGAGCAGAGGGTCAGCGGGGATCCCAGGTGACCGGCCCAAGCCGGCCTGGGTCCTCAAGAAGCCCCCAAGCCGTCCAAGACCTCGCTCACCTCCGAGGAGTCAGCTCCGACAGCGGCGGCGGACAGCGCGGGCTCCGGGGCGGCCTCGGGAGAAAAGCGCCGCGGCCCCGCCCCCCGCCCCGCCCCCGCTTGCGCCTTGTTGGGGAGGGGCGCGACGGCGGGGGCAGGGGTTCTAGGCCGAACTGTCGAGGCCGGGTCCAGCCGGAAGCGGCCGGGTCACCACTGGGCGGCATTGGTTGTCTTCTCTAGGGGTCCTCTGGACACGCAGCCGCTTATTCCCATTTTACAAAAGAGGACCATGGGGCTACAGTTGAGCCCCAGACCCCGAGCCACAAGCTGGAGGATGGGGCTGCGCAGGGAGGCTGCGGCTGTGGAGGGAGGGGCCCGGGTCCTGCAGGGGAAACAGACCTCGAAGCCAGGCTGGCCTCCTTTATGAGCGGTGGCCCCCACTCAGTGCTCCGAATCTCTGGGCCCCATGAACCCGGAGCGGGTGGACCAAATTTCCTCTGCCTCAGCGGGGTTTCACATGCATGAGGATTAGCGGGCTGGAGACATGGCCGGTCACTAGGGAGGAGAGAGGACCGCCAGTGTGGGGAGGAGCCGGGACAGCACACCAGAGGCCCCCCTCATGCACAGTGATAAGGGAGCGTGGGAACCCAGCGGGCAAGCGGGGGCGGCTCCCCCAAGGAACTTTCCAAAACAAGCCAGCCGGAAAGTTTCCACCACTGGAGCTGGCCCAAAAGGTGGAGAGTTTGGGAATGTTTGCAGGAAAGGCAGCCGGGGCCTGGTCTTAGGGACTGGGGGCTCCAAGAGTCTGGCTCTTGGAAAGGGCCCCACTCTGAAGTCAGAAGGGGACCAGGACCGGGGCACCTCCAGTTGGAAGGAACTCACAGAGGAGGCTGTACAGAGCAGGGTTTCCAGAGGAAGTGGCTGGTGGAAGGGGTTTTGAGGCATGAAGAGGAGTTCACCCGGAGAAGACTATAAGCAGGTGCTTGAGTCACCTAAAAGCCTTGGGGAAGGGGCTCCCACTCTGATGACAAGGTGGCAGTGGAAGGCTGACCCCAGGGGCTGCTAGGAGAACATCTGGTGTCTCCCTGGCTTCTGGGAGATTCGAGTTCAATCACACATCATAAGTCATAAATTAGATTAACCAATCACATCTATGCAACCACACCACTGGGGCTCAGAATCCAGCTCCCCCAAAATGCCACTTTGACATGCAATCGGAATGCTTGTCCCCACGGCACCTGTCTCCCCCACCCGTAGCACCGAGAGTGCCTTGGAGCTGCGTCTCTGACCTGCCTAGTCTGGTAGCAGATAAGATCCCGGTTCAGGAGTCCTGCCCCATCCCTGGGAGGGAGGACTCCCCACAGAAGGAGGCGAGAAGAATCTGGACGGACAAGCCTCGCTGGGTGTCCAGGCCCACTGTTTCCATGACAACAGCCACTTTTGTCCAATACCTTTCTCCACGGCTGTCTGTGCTTCATGGAGCCCAAGCCCAGGACGTGTCCCCTGAATTCTGTTTCTGAAGGCTCCTGGTCACCTGAGACCCTGATCTAACGAGTTTGTTCTTTCTCTTTACTCCTGGGATGGGAGCCGGGCCTCCTGCGTGCCAGGCAGTTGCTCTGCCACTGAGCTCCGCTCCAGCACCTCTGTGGTCCTTTGTCACAGGAGTCAGGGTGGTGGCCCTTACCGGGGTGAAGAAAGGCACTGCAGGCCCTCCAAGACTTCCGCACAGTCCCCTAAGAAAGGTTTGGGTTCCTTCGTGGTGGCGCTGGGTGGTGGCATGGATGGAGAGAGCAAGGGAGGTCCAAGGCCCCATCATGCCCTTCGCATGTCCCCTGTGTGGCTGTCAGCCAGTCCCCGAGTTCTGAGAGCTGTCATCCAACCCAAGGCGGGGGTCCTGGGAGTCCCCTGAACAGCCTGTGGCTGGGCAGAGCTGTCCTGTGGGCAGCAGAAATGTCCAGGGGCCTGAAGTGGCGGCAGCCTGTGCGCTGAGCCTCTTCACCTGGGGTCGGACATCGCAGGACGAGGGCATGATTGCAGCTTGAGGCCATACATGGCACCATGGGGACATATGCAGCAATGAGGAAGGCCCCAGGCCTGGCATTCCCAGGGCGGGCTGGGCGGGGGCAGGAGCTCACAGGAGCTCACAGAAGGCGGGAAACGACATGGCCTCGGCCCTGGGCCGCCTCCTTCCTGGCAGATGGTGCTGGGAGGTGAAGGTAGGGGCTGTGTGGGATGGCAAGGCTGAGGGAGGGGACTGGGCCTGTGGACCAGGGCCACTGTGGTGACAGAGGTAAGAAGAAAGGAGCGTTGTCCAGCCGGAGGAGGAGTGTGGCGGTAGCCCCAGGCCTTTTCTGCCTTGGTGTCCAGGTCACCAGGAAGGAGACACCCTCCTGAGCTCCCAGGGGTCCAGGCCTCAGGAAGGACAGTGGGGGACAGACTGTAGCTTCAGTGGCCTGTGGTCCAGGCAGAGCGGCAAGGCCAGAGGTGGCAGGTGCTGGCCCTGAGGTGTGGAGATGGGTGTTGTCCCCGGGAAGAACAGGGTCCAGACCATCTTAGAAGCAGGGGACATTCTGCCTCGCTGCCGGCCGGCCTCCCCCTGCGCCCTGCAGATTCCTGGCCGCCTCAGAACTTGGGCCAAGAGGCTGCAGCCGCCCCAGGCCCCTGCCCTCTGCGTGCCTTTGTTTTTCCTTTTTAAAATAAACACCCCAGCCCCCACCTTGTCCTTGGAGGCCCAGCGCCTGCGTCCTCCAGCTCCTCGCCTGGAACACAGGCCCGGATGGTGGCTTGGGGGACAAGCCAGCCCCATGTGCCAGCCTGGGAGTCGCACACAATGAACCCCACCATGGCCACTGCTTCCTTCTTTACAGCTGGTCTCTGTGTCCTGGAGGGGATCTCCCCTGCTGCCGGGGTGGCTTTGGACTCCTGGCTGCGCAGCCTCTCCCTCAGCCTCCCACGGAGCTGGGGTCCAGCCACAGGCGACCTGCTGCTGTTTCCCCAGAAATGGGGTGAGTCACAGCTTGTTCCCCCAAATATCCTGGTCCCACTCTTGCATGTCACTCAGCAGCCCTGTCCAGACTGGGCAGGGGACACTACTGTGCTCAGCGCCAGCTCTGCCGCCCCACCTGTTCCCACTCATGGAGAGGGGTCTGGCCCTGTGGCCCCACAGAGGCCACTGCCTTAGTCCCTTGTTCCTGGCCAGTAGCCTCAGGAGGGCGCACGGGCTGCCCACTGGACGCCCCTCATCACCACGGAGGCTCCTGGCCAAGTCACCTCCTGGCCCCAGCCCACCCCCATCCCAGGACCGGGGACTCCCTGGGGCCACCGCAGAACCCGGCTGTGACACACACACAAGCCAGCCAGGCAGCCAGGGGCGGCTGGTTCAGTTCAGTGAAATTTATTGTAGGTTGAAAAACTCAGCATTCCTGTGTTGAGTGTACAAAAAGGACACCAGGTGCTTAAGAAAATACGAGGGGACTGAAGATGCGACGCCTTTCAATTGTAACATTTTGGCAAAAGTGAAAAATTCTTGTAAACACCAACTCCATGGCTCAAAATAGTTTTTCTCCACAGTACAACATTAAAAGGAAAAAAACGTATCAATAAGTTAGACCATCTTTAATCAGAACTTTCGTCCATCAACCCCGAAGCACAACAGCTTCCTCCGAGGAGGCCGCAGACGCCCAGGAGAGGGGCCTGGAACGGGGCGGTGGAGGGCGGCCGGGCCTCCTTCAGCAAGTCCTTCCACCCCCCGAGGGAGGGGGCAGAGCCCGCCTGGGCCGCCCTCCCCACCCCAGATGCCAAACAAAATAACAGCTATTGAAACATGAAGGGTCGGGTCAGTTTCCTCAGAGATGTGGGGACCCCAGGGGTCCCAAAGGAAAGACTCTGGGGCGGGTGGGACATACGCAGGCGCCTCCACACAGGCGCCAGCTCTTTGGAAGCCACTGGGAGACACCCCCACAGTTTAGAAAAATAGACGCATCTGTGTTTACCCACCCGCCCTCCCGCCTCACTGCTGTGGACGGCAGCGCCCCCCACCGTGACTGACCCTGGTCACAGCTGCCCCCACCACATTCCCGAGTCATGGCTTCGCTTGGCCCTGAAAGTGAACACTCGCCTCGCCCCCCACACCTTGGAGGGGTCACATACACACACGCGCACGCACATGCGCGCGCGCACACACACACACACATAGTCCCCTAATGCTTTGGGGGACACTAAGAGACTAGGCACAGCGACAAAGCAGCAATTGGGTTATCTGTGGAGCTTGTGCCCCAGAGAGGACAGATAGGGCGTGTCCTCGGGTTCCTGCAGCTCTGTCCACGGGGCCCCAGCCCCTCCCTGAGTGCAAGCCCCAGCGGTGGCCCTGCTGGCACAACCCCAGGACCTACAGGTGGATGGAGCCAGGGCCAGGGCACGGTCAGCAGCAAACCGCACGGCCCTGACGGCTCGGAACCGAGAGCAGCTGCGAAGGGAAAACCGAGGACCTTGGGACATCGTGCTGCCGCCGCCACCTTTAGCTTGTAGCACAACACACCCCCGGCCCTGAAACAGCAGGATGGGCGGGGGCCAGATCGCGGCCTCCTCGGCTCTGAGCAGCTTTCCAGGGGCCCTGGTAGAGTCCCCCTGACCGGAGCCTCAAAGGTGGCTTTGGAGCAGAGACCCTGCCCAGCCCACGGCCCTGGCCCACCAGCTCGGATTCTCCTGGGAAGTCCCCAGCGCTGTGCCTTCCGGTGGCGTCTTAATACTGCGGGAAAGGACACAGGGTAGCATCTAGACCCTGGATGTCCAAGGAGAGGGAGGCACAGGTTTAGAAAAAAAGATTTGCTTTCTCTTTTGTACAAAAATAGACTTGAGTCTCTAGCAGTAGCTAAAAGTGGCTGACATTGTATAAAACTAGAAAAGGCAGGCAGGCTGGCCTCCGGTCTTCGGTTGTGGCGAGAGGGGAAGTGGGACCTCGAGGTGGGCTTCCGTGGGCCTGGCCTGCATGGACTGCTGGGAGGCAGGGCGGGCCTGGGCCACCCCACTGGCGAGCATGGTGGGGCCTCCCTGACATCCGCGGTGCTGGCTCAGATGCGTACATCTCCCATCTCCCGTGTTTATTGTTTTAAATAAATCCTCTCTCCCACGCGCGCCCCCCAGCCCCTGGCACCCAGAGGGCTCGTGAGGTGGAGGGTGCCGGCTAGGGCCAGGCCTGCAGCTGCCGCTGGTCGTACTCGGCGATGAGCCTCTTGATGTGCGCCAGCTTGCTGTGCAGGTACTCGCAGCGGTGCTTCTCCTGGCTGTAGTTGGTGTTGGTCTGCGAGAGAGAGCCACGCAGGAGTCAGCCGCCCGCCCAGGGCTTGAGGCTGCCCAGGCATGCGGCCCCTGCTCGCCTGTGCCCAGCAGGTGAGGGTCCTCCTGGGACTGGGACCCTGTAGGCTGAGACGCAGCTCGTCCACCAGCAGAGCAGGGTCCCCCCAGCCAAGCCCAGTGGTGGCTGCCTTCCTAAAGACAGGGCCCTGAGGCCCCCCACCCCCTCCCCCGACCTAGGGCACCAGCTCCGCTCAGGACAGGCTCGGCCCCTCGGGTGGAGGAGGCACCCTGCGGATCAGAGATCCGAGTCCACCCTCCTGCTCCAGACTCATCTGGAACCTGGTGCGGCTGACCCCAACTGCCCAACACATGACTATTCACCTTTTTGATTTTTCGATATTCCTGCAGAATCTGCCCGCGAGTGGTCTAGAGGGACAACAGAACAGCACATGAGTCACGTCTGCATCTGAAGGAGGCCAGGCTGAGCCGCCCTCTCCGTGCTCTGCACAGCGTCAGAAAGAGCAGCGGCCATGTGGCGGACGTGCCCTGTGGGAGCTGGGGCAGCCTCCGGGGCAGAGCGGTTGCCTTCCCCCAAGCCCGGCGGGGTCTGTCCACAGTTCCGGGGCACAGGGGTGCTGTGGAGTGGCCACATGGGCTGCAGGAAGCGTGTGGGTCCCAAGCCCTCAGGGAGCCCCATCATCCCTCCGGTCCTCTGGAGTCAGACTGACCTCGGGCAGGGGACACAAACCTTGACCCTTACCAGGGCCAGCCCTGCAGTCGGGCAACCAGCTCTGAAAGGTGGCAAGTGGGGACAATCAGTGACTGGGTGCGGGGCCTGACGGAGGCTGTCGCTCAGCCAAACCTGTCAGGTCCTGACCCTTCTCACAGCCCGCCTGAGCACTTCCTCGTGAGGTCCGCCCCAGGGTCCCGCATCCCCAGCAGCCCCCGTGTCGCAGCAAGAATCCTGTCAGGTTGGTTTGGCCGGAATCCACCCCAGGTTCCCTCTCGGCCATTTTCCATCCTCTGAGGCCGGTTCCTTGCTCTGGCCCCCACCTGCCTGGGCTATGTGGAGGCTGAGCCCTGCTCCCTGCAAGCCTATGGTGGCTTCCAGGTGGCCCTGTCCCTTTTCCTTATCCTGCTTTAACAAGTGGCACTGAGTAGCTACTTCTTCCTCATGCCAGCTAGCGCCCTGCCACCAAGCCACACCCAGCCAGCAACTTCCTTCCTCAACGAGATGCTTTTGCTGCGGAGGAGGCGCCACGTTCCTGAGCCCCGGGGCCAGGAATTCTGGGTCAGGGAGCTACAGGAGCCTCCACGCCCCCCCCCCCCAGTGCCCTCTGCCCTCTGCGATCACAGCAGTGGTGACAGGCTCTAGGTAGGGCCAGGCCTGTAGTCCTGCTCATGATGTGGGGTCCTGAGAGCCCCGGGTCCTGGGTTTGAGAAGGGGACCCACGCGCCTCAGCTCATCTTGCTCTTTTGCCTGCACAGGGGGCCGGTGGGCCCGGCTATCTGTGAGGACACCTGTGACGGGCTGGTTACTATCTGGCGCTGGCCGTGCGTGACACCAGGGAGGGCAACGCCTGTGTGTCCCCCGCCCCAGGGCACAGGCTCGGCAGGGACTCCTGGGAGGGCTGAGGGAGGCGGGGGCCCTACCTCGTACTCCTCGGAGCCCTGCGAGAGCTGCCGCAGCTGGGCATCCAGCTGTGTGAAGCGCCTCGTGATCTGCTCGATGCGGGCGTGCAGGTCGCGGTACTCGCTGTACTCGGCGTTGAAGTCGTTCTTGTAGCTCTGGCGCTGCTCGGAGGAGGAGATGGCCGCATATTTTCTAGAGAGGAAAGAAATGGGCCATCAGGGCTCAGGGGGCTCTTGAGGAGAGCCACCAATGGCCATCCCAGGACACCCCGGCCACAGCTGTGTCCTGGGATTCACAGAACAAACACGGAGCCAGCGGAGCCTCTGCCAAGCTGAGGAGCCGGGGACACTGGCCCCAGAGAAGCAGAGCCCCTCCCGAGGTACTCACAGCAGATAGTCTGGTGTCTCTGATGTGGACGAGGGCACGCTGGCGCTGCTGCAGGTCCCGTTCAGACCTGCAAGAGGAAGGCACAGCTGCTGGGTGTCCACGCTGCCCTGGGCGGGGCTGGGGCAGGCCCATACCGCAGAGGCAGGGCAGAGCGGGTGCTGTGCCGAAGCCAGGTGGGAGCCAGGTCAGGAGGGTCTGAGGGGAGGGCAGGGCAGGCCAGAGCCCCACAGAGCACGTGCGCCCAGATGCTGCCTCAGGGACACCTACAGTGAGCAGCTGACAGGTCAGGGTGGCTGCGTCACTGCCCCTGTCCGGAGCTGGACAGCACCAGGCCTCTGCTGCTTCTACTGACAGCAGGTTAAAGGTCACTGAGCTGAAACAAATGGTCCCTGCCTGGCCTGGGTCCTGGGGTGGGTGTCCTGGTTTCTGGCCACAGATGCAGCCCCGCATCCTGCTCCTCCGACCAGGTGCTGGGCTGCGGCTTCTGCTGGAGAAGCAGGGGCCACACTGCTTGGAGGTCCCTGGGGTGAAGCTCAGGGACATGGGATCGACAACATGTGGTCCTTGAGGCAGAAGGGACCTAGTGAAGACCACGCAGTCCACACCCATACCTGGCGGCCAGTGTGCTGCCCTGGGCAGATCACACGACACCCCAAAGCCGCTGAGACCAGGGAGGGGAGGGAGAAGAGGCGCCCTCACCCCCACCCACACGCTGTGACCAGAATGAGGCTCATTTCCCGGGGCCTTTCTCTCCAGAACATGTTCTCCCTTCCCAGTACAGAAATGAGTGTGTCCCTTTGCGGTGTGGAGTGGGAAGGATGAAGTACCGCTCTGCCTGGCAGAGTGACCTCCCACTTCTTGGCCCTTCCCGTGGACCTTCGGGGACCCACGCTCTACTCCTGTAGGGCGAATGCCCAGTCAGAGGAGAGCGGCCTGGGCGTCTGCCAGGACAAGCAAGTTCCCCGAGCCGCGGTCCCAGACGCAGCTGAGGTGCCCACGGCCTGAAGGTGGCCCAGAGCTCGCTCCCTCTGCTCCCCTCCAGGCAGGGCTGCAGGGCAGCTCTTGGGACAGGCCCGTCCTCGGTGTGTATCCACACCCCTCTGAAAGTCCCCTCCAGGATGGCCACAAGTGGACAGAACAGTCTCCTCAGGGCTCTAAGCTGATATTCCCACCCTGAGCCACGCACGGCCATCCTCAGCCCACAGGGCACGAGTTGGACAGCTGTGCCAACATGTGAGGGGTGTGGCCAGCAAGGCATCTCTGCCATGGTGTAGCCCACGCTCCTGCCATGCCACGGGCAGCGTGAGCAGGGCCTCCCTGGGCATTCTGGAACAGGTGACTGCCGTATGCCAAGCCCAGCTGGCACCAGCTCATTTAACCCTCAAGATTTTCACCGGGTGGGATGACAAGTAGGCAAACCAAGGCTCAGGGCTAGCCTGACCCAGGGCAGGAGGGACCTTGAAGTCTGGCCCTTGCCAAACACTGTGGCCCCTGCGCCAAGCCCAGGCCCTGGTCGTGGCCTGCTGAGCTGCTCTTGCCAAGGGGCTTCTTTGGGAACATGACCCAGCAGCTTCTCTCCCATCTCTCCACCGGCTTGTCCTCTGCTCCTGGGCGGGGGCCCTGGGACCTACCCTGCACCCGGACCAACCTGGGCCCTGGAGACAGCGGGCTCTGCGCTGGCACGGCTGCTGGTGCCATGCCGCACTTCCCTTTTAATTGTTTGGCTGGGGATGGAAGGAGGGCCCAGCAGCACTCCAGCCCCCGCTGGCCCCGCCCCCTCCCTGCTGCTCGCACAGGGTCTCCCAGGTCTGACCTGCACCTGGCAGGACCCTGCAGGGCTCCTATTCCTCTGTTCCTGGCAGAGGCTGGGGAGGTGTGGCCTTCCTGGGTGCAGTGGGACAACTCATCAAAGCCACAGTCCCAGGAACCCCCGCCTGGGATCATGCCCAGAGAAACAATGCTGAAGTAGCAACAGGCAGCACAGCCCGGCTGCCCTGGCCAGCCAGTGTTGGGGAGCAAGGTGGCCACTTAGGATACCACTGCCCTAGGAGGCCCCACCCCGTGTGGCTGCTCAGCGTCTGAATGAGGCTGGCGTGGTGCACTGTGCTAGTCCACGCTGCTCTCTACAAATCAGCAGGAACCAGGGGTCACTGAGCTGGACAGGCCACTGCCTGCTCGGCTCAAGTCTCCAGGGCTGTGATCTTGGGCACTAGGTATAGAAGACTTCACTGCCAGCCCTGCCTTTCTGGAGAGTACCGTGCTGGCCCACATCACCCCTCGGTGGCCCAACACTGATTCCCCATCACAAAGTTTCCTCTGTTGGGCCGGGTGTGGCCCAGTGCCTGAGCCCCTGCCCAGCATGCAAGGCCCAGAGGGTCCCCTGCTCAGCACAGGGCCTGGCATGTTTCACTCCCTGGTCCTGTCGCTCGGAACCCGTTTCTGGGTCCCCTAGGGCTTCCCACCCCTGCCAGGAGACCCTGCAATGCCTTCTAAATCCTTCCTGCATGTGCCCAAACCCAGCTCCTCCACAAGCCACACAAGCTGACCACAGCCCAGGTGCTGTCCTCTCCACCCTGGGTCTGCCTGGGTGGGGCTGGCTTCCCTGTCCCTCTACTTCCTTCCCTGGGCCCCAGCAGCCCCCAGCACCCCTGCTGCCTCTCAGCAGCCAAGAGTCTCCTGCAGCGTGTTCCTCTCCACACTGATCCCCTTCTGTGAGCCCTGCTCCCTGCTGGTCTGTGGCCCGCACACGGGCAGTGAAAGCAGCACCAGGCCTCAGCCCTGGGGGCTCCCCAAACCCTCACACCAAAGGGGCAGACGGAGGAACAGCCGCTAGGACACAGCGGCCACAGGCTGCACATGCGGGGAGCCTGACAGGCCTCGCGGGCAGCATGGCCAGCCTCCCTCAGACTCTAGCAGCCTGGACCTGCATGACACCCTGCAAGTGAGGGCGAGTGGGGGCACCCACCTGGGGCATCGGGCGGAGCTCTGTGGGTGGCAGGAGCGTGATCTGGCGGCTGGGTCCGGTGCCTGTCCTCGGCCGCCCTCTCCTTGTCTTTGTGCTTCTTGGATTTCTTCTTGGGTTTGCTGCGGGCAGGGCTGTCGTGGGGCCTGTCGGGCTGGGTGTAGTCCGTCAGCAGGGGGAGACCAAGGTGAGTGGCAGGGCTGGGGGCAGCGGCCTCCCCGCGCTTACTGTCCTGGCCACTGTGGCCCAGGTCATTGCTAACATCGGTCAGGGGGTCATGGGCCCGCGGGGGCTCCAGTCGCGGAGGCAGATGGGCACTGGAGCTGAGGGTGTCCGTGCTAGTCGGCGGCCCTGGGGTGGGCAGGAGGGCCTCGCGGCCATTGGGCACACTCAGTTTCCCGTTGAGGGCAGGCTGGGCTCTCTGGGCGAAGTGCGATATCCTGGGTTTCTTGTTGGCCAGGGGGTCAATGAAATCAGGTGGCTGTGGCCGTTTCTGCAAAGAAAGGGCAATGATTTTACAAGGAGCCCGGGAGCCACCAGGCGGCACCAGGCCCAGGGAGACCCAGCACCTGTAATGCACCCTCTGGCCACACGGGGGCGCCCGGACCCTGGGTCAGGACTTGGCAGCCAGAGCTCGCCAGCCTGGTGGCCAAGCCTCCAGGCACAGGAGCCTCACAGAGGCAGGCGGACAGGGTGCCAGAAGGGGTCCTCTGGCTCACAGGGGAGACCCACCCCCCTCCTGCGCTTCACACCCAGTCAGCTGCTACCTGAGGGGGCGAGGCCGAGCTGCCAAGCTCGCCCGGGAGGCTGGCGGCCACGGGGTCTCCAGGCAGACTGGTGCTCTGTGGCTGGCACAGCTTGCTGTAAGAAGTGGAGGGAGGGCAGGTCAGAGGACTCGGCAGCGGTGCCCGATGGAGTGACCCCCTGGCCAGAAAGTCCAGGTAGAGGTGCCCCCCAAAACCACTCCAAAAAATGAGAGCTGGGCCGGGTGCAGTACGGAGTGGGGGAGCCCGGGGGGTGGTGGGAGCCCAGGGAAGTGGAGGAGCCCTGGGAGTGGGGAAGCCAGGGGCGGCAGGGAACAGCCTTAGGGCCTCTGGACCAGCTGGCACAGGAGGACACCCCTTGGTGCCACTGAGGTCTGAGCGTGGCCCCCGAGGCTTCTGTGTGGCGTTTGGTCCCCACTGTAAAAGGACAACAGAAACTGAATCTGCCTGCGGCTCCTCAGGTGGCCTCTGGGGAGTGACTAGGGTTAGTTAAGGGCATCAGGATGGAGCCCCCACAATTGAGTCCTGGGTAGAGGGGGAGACCAGAAAACAGACACAAACGCACACACCCTTCTTCTCAATATGGGACGGTTTGCACTGCTGCAGGCCCTGCCAGCAAAAAGCTGTCACTAGATGCAGGCCCCAACTCCACACTCCAGAACCATGAGCCAAATTAACCTCCTCTCTAGACAGTTGCCCAGCCTGAGGGATTTTGTTTCAGTGTCCTGCACCCAGAGGAGGGTAGTTCACTGCCTCTTCATTTACATGGAGATGAGGAGCACATAACAATGACCTGACACTTAGGGCACAAGCTGAGTCTTGCTGGGGACTCCAGTGTTCACAGCAGCATCACTCATCACAGGCAAAAGATGAAAACCACCCAACTGCCCATCAACAGATGCCTGGATCAGCACAGCGTGGTCCAGTCACCTGGCGGAACAGCACGGACGAACCTGAAAAGCACGATGCTGAGTGACAAGAGCCCTACACAAAAGGCCACACAGCATGTGCTTCCACTGACATGAAATATTCTGAACAGGCGAATCCACAGGGATAGGACACACATGAGTGGCTGCCAGGGGCTGGGAGAGGTGTGGGAGTGACTGCTGATGGGGATGGGGTTTTTTGGGGGGTGGGTGATGAGACGGCTCTGGAATAGCAGTGATGCCTCACAGGTTCGAATGTTCTCTGATGGTTCACATTAGATGGGTGACTTGTGTTACATAAATTGCATCTCAATAAAGTTGTTATTCCTTTGTAATATCCTCGGGGAGAAAAGACAAGAAATAACCTCACTTTCATGAAAAAAGAACATCATGCTGCCAAAAAGCAACAGGAAAAGACTCTTAGAAACTAGAAGTAATGGCAGGACAACAACAGGCTAAGAGAAGCTGAAGAAATCTCCCAAAATTATGAGAGAAAGAAAAGCAGGGAAGACACAGGGCCACCCAGCACCACGGCCCCCTAGTGGCAGAATTAGAGAAAGCAGGAGGGAAGGGCAGTGGCGTCTTTTCTGGACCACACAGGGGATGGAGGGAACAGCCGCCACCCACCACCCGCCACCCGCCACCCAGAGCTCCTGCCTGCATGCCTGTGATGGCATGGGTGGATGAGAAAGGGCTGGGTCGGGATGCCTTCGACCAAAGGCCAGGTCTTCAACATGGAGGGAGAGCGCTTTTGGCTCTGAAAGTTTAGTCTTGGCCATCGGCTGACACTAAGTAGGACTTTTGCTGGGGTGTGAAGAGGGGCAGATGGGTGGCCTCCTGAGCCCTTTCCTGAGTCAGAAATCCCAGAAACCATGTTCCCTCCACCCCAGGGAGGAGCAGGGGGCAGCTGCAGGCCAGGGACGGGGCTCTGGGTGAGAGCGGAGCACCTGGACTGGGGTGAGGCCCCGGCACTGGGTGGTTCTGGTGGAGTCGGTTCCTGAGGGCACGTGCAGATCTCCGGACCTCCCAACAGGGACAAGAGGCCCGGGGAGTGGACAACCAAAAATGGCTCGAGCTGCTGGACTGATAAGAGGGTGCAGCTGAGGCATGGCACAGGGCTCTGCTGCGGGCCACCTGCAATGAGCTGGTCCCCACACCCTGCCTGTTTTGTGACCTGCACAGGCCTAGCCTTCCCTGTAACAAAGGAAACACTCCGAGCTCCCGTCATCGCTCTGGTCTAAGTGAGGCCTTGACTTCGAACACTGCCTCTGCGGGGCGTCTCTGCACAGCCACAGCTGGGACACTGACGCTCGCTCTTCCCATACACCAGTGGCCACCGATCCACAGCCAGCCCCCATCGAGGGCTGACCGCCCATGGGCTCCCGCAGGCCAACGGCTCACCAAGGAAACCACCTCAGATGGAGGTGAGCAGGGTGGATGGGGCAGGCATGCTGTGACACCCTGCGTGACGCCCAGATGCTGCTTCCCACTGACCCACACAGGCCTGGGGCTCGCTCCTCGCAGCTCCCCTGCCTGGGTTGGAACAAACCAGCAGGCACGGAACCCCTGGGGTGCAAGCACCCTCGGAGGGGGCCCCAAGGGAGGGGCAGGCTGGGTGCAGCCTTGCACTTCCAAGCACACGGGTCAATGTCATTGATGGTACAATGTTCGGTCCTTTGCCCAAGTGTGTGGCGGGTGGAAACAGCTGGAGGAAGGAGGATACAGTGCTGCCCGGGACAAGGTTGGTTGGAGTAGCAGGGGACCTCCCAGGTGTGGACGGTGGCAGGGGGGCTTCTGCCAAGACTATGTCCTCTGCCAGCCTCTCCTGAGCACCCAGGACCCACCACTGGACACTTGGGCACTAGTTGGCCAGCTCACCCGAGGACCACGACCAGCTTCAGGAAGGGACACACAGGGGCAAGGAGGGGAAGCGCTGCTGCTGCTCTCTGGGGTTCATGTGGAGTGATCCCCAACCCCCTCGGCTTTCTAGACACAATGACTGCTTCAAACAGCCACACTTAAAAACACCTAAAACCGCCAAACTCACAGACAGCTCAGGTCTAATTAGCACACAGGCCTGCAGAAGTGCTGCAGAGGACAGCTGCCCGCCTCCTCAGCCCCGGCTCCCCAGGGCCCTCTGCTCCTGACCCTAGGGCCCAATTAGTCAGAAAGGGGATGTGTTTAATTAACGCTGCTTAATCACATCTGCAGGGAGCACGCTTTGCCTCATTTCTCTCAGCTTGGGGTTCTTGAGAGGTTCAGCCTGTGGCCTCCGGGGATGGTGGCTGCTGAAGGAGCCGGGAGGGAAATGGGGGGACAGTCACAGCTGATCCGGGCACACTGAAGCCTTTGGTTTGAGGACTCCTTGGCTGGGGCGACGTGACTCACACCCCCACCCAGGGTGCTGCCTCCCCCACCAACCAGCAGGAGGCCGCGGGGACTGCAGGCAGCAGGGAGGACAGTCGGGAAGGCGCCCAGGAGATTCCGTCCTGAGCCACTGGCCTTCGGGACCATGAGACGTGGTCCCAGATCTCTGGGAGGTGCCGGGGAGGGGACGGGAGGAAGCATTACCGGACAAGCATTCGTTTCAGCAGCTGCTGGTCCCCCTCTGAGTAGCCAGGCCAGTCCTTCTGCACGTCCTTGTACATGCAGTCCCTCAGAGTGCATGTGCCGTCCTTGGCATTCACATTGGCCACCTGCAACACAGAGCCAGCCGTCACCGTGCAGGGAGCCTGGGAGGCAGGCCCTTCGGAACACATGCATGGGGGTGTGCAGAGACAGGGGGAGGCAGACAGAGCAGAGAGAGAACATGGCGGCCCCCTCTGCCTGTGCCACCTGCTACTCCCAGCTCCCCTAGACCTTTAGGCACATAAGGGACAAGGGGGTGAGGGTGTGAGGTCCAGATTTACTTATCTCACAGATGCTGGGGGCCAGGCTGGCTCCAAAAAGGAAGCGCCACCATCTACACTCGTGAGCTTCTGGGACCCAACGCCAGCCCATCCCCTTCCCTTTCAGATTGTGGCTCCCGGAGCAGAGCCAGCCTAAGCTCAGGTACCCACCCGAGGCCAGGGCTAAGCCACCCTGCCAGCAGCCTTCTGCCTTCAGCTGTTCTCCTGGGCTATGGCCGCATCCCGCAAGGGCTCGAATCCCAGTGTTTCCGCAGGCAAGGCCGCTGCGCTCCAGGGACAGCAGCTCGGTGGCCGCGTTCTCAAGAGATGCGGGGTCAGGGGTATGGGCACGGGCGGTCTCCTAGGACTACCTCCCTAGGTTGAGGGCTGAGGGAAGCACTTGACCACAGGTCCCCAGTACCTGTGCTCTGAGTCGTCCACAGAAGGGCCACAGAGGCCCCTCCTCCCCTCCCTGACTCCATGCGGCACCTTCAGGACACCCCTGAAGCCCAGCCTTTCACAGATGTTGCCCTCAGTTCCACATAAGGAGTAGGGACTGGGTGGGTGGCAGCCAGGCCAACATCCTCCTGGGGCCGAGCTCTGAGGTCCCCACCGGCCTCGGGCTGCACCAGAGACAATGAACGTGGCAGATATGGAAATGCACCTCAGATCCAGCTGCCATGTCACCGCACAGCACGATGTGTGCTCCCTGCTACGGGAGGCCCCGCCTGTGTTCCCAGCTGCAGGGGGACTGGGCAAGCTGGTGGGTGACACCCTCGACATCCTGCTGCGACCCACTGAGACAAGAGGCTCGGCCACACCTCCATGGCAGCACTCCTGGGCAGAACACCCCCCACCTCAGGCCTGGCTCAGGGCTGGAAGCCAGCTCAGGAGTGCTCGGCTTCCCAGGGGCCTGGGAGGCCTGGGGAGCCAGGGTGGGGCCTGGGGAGCCAGGGTGGGGCCTCGGGAATGTGTGGGGAGTGCTGGTGAGAGGGGTGGCAGTGGCTGGGGTTTGTCTGCGGTGCTGGGGGTGGCACCCAGGGCCTCCCTCCCATAGGCTAGGCGAGCGCTCCTCGGCTGAGCTCCACCTCGAGCCCTTTTTTAAAATTTCATTTTGAGCAGCCTCAGCAGCAGCTCCGCCTTCCAGCAGGGCCTCAGGGCCAGGAGGTTGCTCAGGCTGGCCTCAAACTTTCCATCCTCCTGCATCATCCCCCAAGTCCCTGGGATGACCGTGAGCACAGCACTACTGCCTCAGTGAGCTGCTAACAGCAGGATCCACTGCCACCACCGCCTTCGCTGGCTCCCCTCCTTCTCTTCAAGAGGGGAGGCACTCCTGTCGGGTGAGGACCAGGGGTCCCAGGTACAAAGCCCCTTGCCTAGGCTCACAGCTGTTGAGTGGCAGGGAGCTGTCCACAGGCCACCTGCCTGTGAGCCCGAGTTCTAGGCTGCGAGGCCCCAGGCTTCAGATCTACTGTCCCCGCAACAGCAGACGTGGCTGCTTGGTCCTGGCCTTTCAGCTGCCAGTCAGCCAATACACAGGAGGCACGTGCCCCAGGTTAAGTGTGTTCTAAGCCAGCAGGCCCAGGAGGGCCCTTCTCAGTCGGCCCCACGAGACACCTACTGCAGAAGCCACTGTGGCGCATGGCCTCAGGGTGGGTGGACTGTGCGGCCCCTCCCCCAGTCCCCACCTGCTGGAGCAGGCCATCCAGCGAGTCCTTGTCCGCCTGCGACAGGCCGTCCTTCTGTAGCCTCAGCAGCAGCTCGGCCTTCCGGTAGGGCCTCAGGGCCAGGAGGTGCAGCACCCGGTCACGGAAAGGCCTCTGGGACACCCCGCTGGCCCCGCTTACACCACTCTTCCTGATAGCACTTGCCAGGTTGATGGGGGTGGCACGCTTCCGGGAAGGCACTGCATCTGTCGCCCCTGGGGCTGGCTTCCGGAAGTGAACCTTCTTGCCTGCAACGACAGCAGGGGAATTAGGGAAAGAGGGAGGGGGTGGCCCGTGGCGTACCCTGTGCTGGCACAGGGACTGGGAAGACAGCGGTCTAAAGCCCACACCAAGCTAAAGCTGAGCACTGGGCGGCCAAGAGTGCCACCTGCTGCCCAGCCAGCCAGCCTGTCACCTCAGGGTCCCCAGCCTCAAAGTGGGAGGTGCAGGACACAGAGGTGCTCAAGTCCTCAACTAACTGTATCAGTGTGACCCGAGTCCTAGGAACTGGAGACGTGGCCACCCTGGGGTAGAGGGCACCTATGAACCCTTAGGTATACTAAAACGGGGCTCCCTGAACTAAAGACAGGTCCCCGGAGTCGGATCTCACAGTCTGGATCTCCTACACCAGCCCCACAGCTGGCCCCCACCTTTTTTTTTTTTTTTTTAATAAACAGGAATAGGTGTCAGGGCCACTTCAGACAGCTGCTGCACAGACCCCAGAGGGCATGCAGGTCCCCAGCCATGGGTCCCAGTAAGTGCTTCTCTGGCAAGCGTGGCTGTGCTTGGGGTCTTGGGGACACTGAGCTTGCCCTCAGTCCCAGAGGGAACAGAGACAGAAGAGGATCTAGCACACCACAACTCTGTGTGACCTCCATTCAGAAGTCACTCACCCTGTCCTCAACACTGCCCTGGCCTCCTGCAGAAGGCACCCAGCCAGGCAAGCTCGGCAGCAAATCTTGAGGACTTTGGCCACAAAGCTCTTCATGAGGACGTCCTTTTCTTTGGAACTAGGGATTGAACCCAGGGGTGCTCTACCACTAAGCCATATCCCCAGCACTTTTTAGTTTTGTTTTGAGACAGGGTTCAACTAAGTTGCCCGGGTTGGCCTCAAACTCTCGATCTTGCTGCCTCAGCCTCCTGAGTTGCAGGGTTACAGGTGTGCTCCACCATGCCTGGCAAGAGGATTTCCTTTTGATCTTGTCACTCAAACTATGATCTGTGACAAGAAAACAGAATTATTTTAGAATCCCTAGGGCCAGCCGCTCACACCTCTGGGGTTTGTTCAATGACGTCCAGAGAGCAGGGCTGGCCCCTGTCCTCACAGGCTGAGAGGAAGACATGGGCCAGGGGTCAGGGAGGCTGACACTAAAACACTCGGGGCCGGAGCCAGGACATGCATGTTTACTCTTCACGAAGACTGTTTCTGTGAGAATGTCAACTGCCTCAGAACCATCACTGTGCCCGATGTGGCACAGTGAGAAAGTTTTTAACCAACATTTTAGCCAAAGGACCCGTGAATTTATTAATGTGTGTGGACCTTCAAGTTTCTACCTTGAAGCAAGAACAGGTGGGTAAAGCACCCAGCTGCTTTTCCCAGGAGACACTGCCAGGTGGCTCATAGCCCAGTGCCTGCTGCAGGGGGCAGGCAGGGATTTCTGGCCGTGGGGCACGCCCACTCTCGCCCAGCACTGGCCAGGACCAGCCCCTGCAGTGACCGCTGAGGCTGCATCTAGAGCGAGGTCTTTGGGGAGGAGGGTGAATGTGAAATCTTCCCACGTTTTCTTTTTATTTACATTTTCTTTTAGTGATCAATATACCTTTGTTTTATTTAGTTATTTTTTGTGGTGTGAGGATGGAACCCAGTGCCTCCCATGTGTTAGGCAAGCGCTCCACCACTAAGCCACGATCCAGCCCCACCCACCCCGTGTTTTCTTATAAAAGAATGAACCAAAAGACCTTGGAGGTTCTCTTGCTTTAAGCTGCTCACCTCCCCGGCCCAGAGCCTGGAGCAACCAGTGCCCCAATCCTAAACTCCTCACCCCCGGGGGAGGGGCAGGGCAGGGGCAGGCGAGGCGCTCTCTAAAGACACCGCCTTACTCCCCTCTGGATGCTTATTAGTTTTTCCACTTTTTTTTTTAAATTTATCTTTATTTTATTTTCATGTGGGGCTGAGGCTGGAACCCAGTGCCTCAGCATGCAAGGCCAGCGCTCTCCCTCTGAGCCACAATCCCAGCCTTGGTTTCTCCACTTTTTCTGCAGAGCCCATCCGTTTCCCTGAGGCGGAGGTCCCCAAGGTCCCCAAGCTAAACCTACGAGGAAAGCCCACCAATTCAGATCAGAGCTCCTAGAGATCCTGGGCCCCTGTGTGTACTTTGGGGTTCCCAAGGCAGCAGCTGCTATGACTCGGGTGCCACCGCCAAGGTGGCTGGAACTTGCCTTCTGACCTGGAAGCTGGTGTGGGCATCTAGTCTTGCTCAGGGACTGAGCCCTGTGCCGACCCACCCACCACTTCTGGTTAGACCAGCCCGCTGCTGCGCCAGGCCCGGGCCTCGCCCCACTGCTCACCCAGGTAGCGGCCTCCGGGCTTGATGACGATGGCCCCGCGGCTCCGAGTCTCCTCCTCCGCCTGCGCCATGCTCTCACGGGCCTTCTGATAGGAGTCGTCAGTGGCGCACACTGTGACCTTGTCCTGGATGCTGCCCAGGCAGTCCAGGTGGACGTCCCCATGGCTGAAAGACACAGGGCCAGGGAGACGTGGTCATGCCCTGCCTCGCACCCACCTGGACGTGGGGCTCAGTTCCCTCCGACTCGGCAGCACTGCTCAACAGAACATGTCCCAACCTGGCCAGAGGCCACAGCCAAGGCCTAGCACCCGGTCTGGGGGTCCCCAGGGCAGGGGCGCCTCACCTGGAGACGTACTGCTGGATGCAGTCGAAGCTGCCCTGGGGGCTGTCCCGGCCGACGTTGGAGAGGTAGAAGGAGAATGTCCGCGCCTCCTCGGGGCAGTCAGGCTGAGGGATGGAGATGTGCTGCGCACAGAGGGGGGGGGTCACTGGGAGGGGAGGCCCGCTACAAGGAGGGGCCCGCAGCTCCACCAGGCCCAGCTGCCCCCCAGAAGTTGCCGCCACTCAACCCTCACCCCAGGAACTCCAGCAGCTTCCTCTAAAACACACCTCTGCCATTCCTGGCAGTGACAGGACAGAGGCTGTCCCCACCTTCTGCCCTCAACAATGGTCAGGAGGGGCCTCGGGCTCCTGTGTGGGTGTCCCTGTCTCGAGTTTTAGTAGCAGTGGCACCGTGAGCACTGAGTGCTCAGCACCTGCCCAGAGGCAGCGTCTCCACCTGCTCATCTGGCTCTGGGGAGGTGGCTTGCCCGGGAAGTGACTCAGTTTGCGCACCCAGCAAATGGAGCGACCTGGCCTGGGCCCCAGGAAGGTGAAATGCAGGACTGGCACCAGCAGGCCCTCAGAATCTGCCCACTTGGCTCACAGACTCCAAGCGTCACTCATTGTCCTGTGGCCACAGATAAAGCAGGAGTGGGCCCTGGGAAGCTTAAAGATGGGCAGCACTGGACCCCCACATCCAGGTAACATGTGACACGGTTTACATGTGCCACAGTCCACGTAAGCCTGGCTGCAGACCATGCGTCCAGCCCAGCACGAAACCACAACAGCCGATGGCAGTGGGCAGGCGGGCAGCCTTCCTAGTTCCAGCACAGACACTGGGCTCCCCGCAGGACAGCATCACCAGCCCCTGCCTCCAGCCCACCCAGGCCGGGGGAAGGCCCGGGGCTGCTGAGGAGGGAGGGAGGAAAGAGGAAGGTCTTGCAGAGCCCTGGCCACCAGGGATGACCCTTCCGAAACCCCTGGGTTTGAGCACAAGTTCCTCACAGCTAATCAGACACACAGATGGGGACATGAATGGCCCGTGAGGAGGGGGCAGCAGGGGTGAGGAGTAGGCCTCATCTCCAAGCAGCCACATGTGCCCAGAGGCAGCTTAGTCTGTCTGCACTCCAGCCTCGGGAGCCACAAGAACATAGCTCCTGAGTCACCAGGCCACACAGAGAGACGCCCACCCTGCCACCTGCTGCATGGCCTCTGCTGAGATGTGGCTCTCAGAGTGGTGTGCAGGGACACAGGGAGCTACCGAAGCACCGAGCCCGGGTCATCCTGAAACACAGCAAGCCTCACGCAGCCCAAGACAAGGCCCTGCCCTGAACCAGAACAGCTGCCCCGCCATCCCGGTCCACAGACCCTCCTGCCCCTGGCACAGGCTGAACCTGCTCCAGAGAAAGGATCATCCCATCTGCCCCGCCCCGCCCAGTCCCAGGGCCTACCAAACACCCCTCTATGCACCTCCACCCCACGCACCCCTGCAGGGAAGGAGCCTATGTCCCTGTTGTGCTCACCACAGGCTGCACCTAGGCATGCACCCTAAGACCTCAGGGTGCTGTGCCGGGTAGGCCTCCACCACTTGTGTTTGTCTGAACACTAACATGTTTTTATGAGGTTCAGAGAGGGATGGGGTGGCTTGCACTCGGCGAGAATCAACCCAACTGCCTGTGACTCACCTCAGGACGCACGCGTGCTCTCTCTCTCTCACACACACACACACACACACACACTCACACACTCTCTCTCTCCCCCTCCTTAGCCTTGGCCAGAGCCGTGAGGGTGACCCTGCCCATCCAGCCTGTCCTGTCTGGACACCGCTGTGGCACCTCCTCACCCAGGTAGGCACTGCATCCTGTCGACACATTCCTCTCAGTGGCAGAGTGACTGGGAACGCCCCACTCACTGTAGCAACAGAGCAAACGTGACCTGGCAGGCCAGCGCATGACAGGCGAGGGAGCCTAGGACTGCGACATCTGGGGACTCCAAAGGGATCTGATCCAGCTGAGCCAGGGATGGGCGGGCCCCCTTCGCCCATCAGTCCGCTAAGCCGCCCGGGGCATACGTGGTCCAGGTTCTAGCTGACACTGAGGCTCCCCTGATTCAAGTCCCAAGCTGCCCGTGGCTCTTGCCCCCAATGAGCAGCAGCTGGGGGCCCTATATGCAGCCCTGTTCGGGGCAAATTTGGACCCAACCTGAATCCAGTGAAGAAACTGGATTGGCAGGGAGCTGAGGCCAGACTGGGGCTGGTCACACAGAGAAGGTGAGCCTGGCACTTGAGGCCCCACCCACCTACACTGCCACATCAGCAGGCAGAGTAGTGTGGGCCTGGTCAGCACCCCGAGGACCCTACCTGAGCCTTCCCAGGGTCTGGTGTGGGGGAAACATGGGGTGACAGAGTGTGACATGAAAGTGCATCCCTTTAGGTAAGAGGCTTAGGGCATGGAAATGATAGTGGGAGACTGATGCTGGGAGACCTTCATGCTCTGGTGACAACAGGAAGACACAAGAGGGCGCCTGTGGCCAGTGTTTCAGGCAGGAGTTGGTTGTTGGTGAAGGTTTTGCTCCGAGCCAACCTGGGCACTCCAGTCCCAGCCCAGGATTCAGAGGCACTGCCACACTCTGCGACCTGAGGAACGGGCTGAGAACTGCTGGCTAGAGGCCGCCAGCCGCGGGAGGAGCAGGAACCTTAGCTGGGAGACAGCAGGGCAGGGACACAGGCACAGCCTGTGTCAGCTGAGCGCTCGCCCCTGCTCTTGGCCACAGCCCACAGCGCGGCCGCCACTTTGTGACTGCTGGAGGGGGTCTCGGCTGGTCTTTTCAGGCTACTGTCAAGACCAATGTGCTTAGGGTCTCCCAGGGGAGTACTGCGGGGCTGCCATGTCTGATGCCAGCCCCAACTCCAGGTTATTTGGGGTTCGGGGCATCCAAGGTCTCCAGTCTCCAGCCTTTGCTGCTGGTCTGACCCATGGCCACCAGGGGGCTCTGGTCCCGCCTCAGACCAGGTCTCAGCTAGAATCCTTCCAGCATGTCCCTCTGTAACCTATGTCCCAGATGAGCTCTGCAAGGTCTCTGCTGCAGGGTGTGTGTTGGGGGGAAGGGGGTGAGAGGTAAATTAAGTTCTGGTGTCAGGGAGGACAGTGAAGGAGTGGGGAAAATCCCTCAATATTCTGCTCAGCTAAAATCAAACTAGCCAGACATGGTAGCACACGCCTGTAATCCCAGCAACTCGGGAGGCTGAGGCAGGAGGATTGCAAGTTCAAAGCCAACCTCAGCAGGTTAGAGAGGCACTGGCAACTCAGCGAAACCTTGTTTCTAAATAAAATATAAAAAAGGGCTGGGGATGTGGCTCAGTGGTTAAACAACCTTGGGTTCAATCCCTGGTACCAAAAAAAAAAACCACACATATATACATATATCAACACAAACTGTCAGGCATACACCTGTGATCCCAGCAATTTGGGAGACTGAAGTAAGAGGATTACAAATTTGAGACCAGCCTGGGCAACTTAGTGAGACCCTGTCTCAAAATAAAAAAGTCCTGGGATGCAGTTCAGTGATACAGAACTTGCCTCACATGTTCAAGGCCCTGTGTTTCATCCCTAGCACTGGAAAAAAAAAAAAAAAAAAAGAAAGGAAAGAAAAGAAAGAGAAAGAAAGAAAGAAAGAAAGAAAGAAAGAAAGAAAGAAAGGAAGGAAGGAAGGAAGGAAGGAAAAAGAAAAAAGAAAAGAAAATCTTTAAACTTAAAGAATTAAAACAGGAGGCGCTGGAGCTGGGGCTGGGCCTCAGTGGCAGAGTGCTTGCCTGTCATGTGTGGGGCACTGGGTTTGATCCTCAACACCACATACCAAAAAAAAAAAAAAAAAAAAAAAAGCAAATAAAGTCATGCTGTCCATCTACAAAAAAAAAAAAAAAAGAATAAAAACAGAGGGCTGGGGATTTAGCTCAGTGGCAGAGCGCTTGCCTAGCACACACAAGGCCCTGAGTTTGGTCCTCAGTCTTGAAAAGGAAAAAAAAAAGGGGGGGGGGAATAAAAACAGATGGCAGTGTGGGTCCAGGTGTGTCCATGTAACACATGCAGGGACCTAGACTCTGACCAAGCAGGATCTCTCCAGCCAGAGGGCCGCTCAGGTAGCGTTTGTGTTCTTCATTGTGTTCAGTTCCCAGTGAACTCGCAGAGCAGAAGCACATTAAGCTTTCTGAAGAGAGTGACTTTCTGAAGAGAGTGGCTGACCATGATGTCCAGGAGCAAGCAGCCTCTGCCACCCAGTGAAGGGCCTTGCTTCCTCCTTACACCCAGGTGTTTTCTAAGTTACAGGTTGTGCCCACCTGAGATTTCCAGGCTGTTTGGTCTCTGCATAAGGATGCTCCTAATTCTGAGACCCCCTTATTATTATTACTTTTTGGTATCAGAGATTGAACCCAGGGGTCCTTTACACTGAGCCACATCTCCAGTCCTTTTTATCTTTTACTTTGAGGCAGGGTCTTGCTAAGTTGCTTACAGACTTCTTACTTGCTGAGGCTGGTCTTGAATTTGTAATCCTCCTGCCTCAGCCTCCCGAGTGGCCAATATTACAGGCATGTGCCAGTATATCCGGCTATCCCCTGATTTTTTTTATTTAAACAGTTTGATTTCTTTCTTCTTTCTTCTTTCTTTCTCTTTCTTTCTTTCTTTCTTTCTTTCTTTCTCTTTCTTTCTTCTCTCTCCTTCTTTCCTTCTTTCTTTTAATTGTAGATGGACACAATATCTTTATTTATTTACTTTTATGCAGTGCTGAGGATCAAACCCAGGACCTCCCATATGCTAGGCAAGTGCTCTACCACTAAGGCACAACCCCAGCCCCTATCGCCTGATTTTTTAGGGCATTTCTAAGTTATCTCTGTTCCACACAACAAAGCATCAAGCATGCCAGTTGTTAAACTCTTGGACACATCACTAATATTACTCCCGTAGAATTCACCTCTTAGGCACACGGACACGGTCAGAGACCTCAGACAAGTGCTGTAGACCTTCTAGAGACCTTTATCCAGACACCACTGCTGCACACAGTCCTAGCATCTGGAACAGCCCTGCTGTTTGAAAACAACTGCTATTTTTCTTTCTTGTTTCATCAACTGGGATTTTGCTGATAAGTTCTGGAGGTGGGGCCAGCCAGGTGGGATTTCATTTCCCCTTGGAGATAAAAGCTTACAAGTACTCCCCAGACAGCCACAGCCATGGTGTCACGAGAGGGCAGAAAGCCCAAGGGCACACGAGCAAAAGGCAAGTGCAGCAAAGTATGTGACTCCAGAGGCCACATGTGCCACAGGTAGCCCTGCTCTCAGGGAACCTGGCTCCACAGAATCTGTTGGCTCTGCATGTCAGCTTCCTGGGGGCCTGTCTCTCATAGCACTTACTGTAGTGGCGAGGTGGGCCACTGTGTGCTCAGACTAGGAGATGCACACCAGTGGCTGAGCTTGTCCTGGGCCACAGGGAGGACACTGTTCTCCTGACATCAAGTTCAACCTGCAAACGCCCTTTCTGGTGGACAGCCTCTCCCCCATTGTGTGGACTAGGAGAAGGAGGGATGGAGGGAAGAATGTCCCACTGCTCAGGAGGTCAGGATGGCTCTGAACACCAGGGGGCACTGTGGAGCCAAGCAAGCACAAGTCAAGGCCAGTCGCTTCTTGACACTGACCTCTGATCCCCAGGGGAAGGTAAAGGGGAGGTGGCCAAAAGGTAGCCACAGATTCAGGAATCCCACCATCCACTGCACTCCAGTTCAGGTGGGTGACAGAGGTATCTATCAATGTGGTTATCATCTACAACCAATTGAATGGAAGTAGGTAAAGATGACCCATAGGTCTGAGTGGCCCTGCCCAACAGCTGAAGGCCTTAAGGGGGAACTGAGGATTTCCGGAGGAGAGAGACACTTCCAGGGCAGCCTGGGGCCTCTGACCCGCCTTAGGAACTGCAGCCTTTCAGGGGCTGCAGAGACTTCCTTACTATGGATCCTTTCACACCTGCTCACACAGGCACTTGAAGATACACACTGCAGCACCCAGGGGCTCTGGAAAATCCGCTGACCATCTCGTCCACCCTCCTGCTGTGAGGAGCCCCAGGTGGGAGGAAGGGTGGGTACAACATTTGCAACTTCAAACACACACACTCGCACATGCAATCCCAATGGCTCGGGAAGCTGAAGCAGGAGAATCCCAAGTTCAAAGCCAGCCTCCGCAATTCAGCGAGGCACTAAGCAACTCAGGGAGACCCTATCTCTAAGTAAAATACAAAATGGGGCTGGGGATGTGGCGCAGTGGCAATGGCTTCAGGAAGGGGGCCTTCTGAGGAGAGCTGCCCTCTGCCCAGCAACAAGCTGCCACGGGCACTGGGAGCCTGGCTGAGGTGGCCGTGGGCCTAGGGCCACCCAGAGGGCCTCAACTGGACACAGGCCAGGCTGACAGGCCCAGGGCCCCAACCTGGCACAGAAGTGGACAGGGCCAAAACGCTGCCTGCCCTGAGCCTGCTCCGTGCCCTGAAGCAAGCGCAGGCTGAAGGCCGGAGCTCCCTTGAGCGCAAACAGACTGAGGCCAAAAGACTTACCCCTTGGCTTCCTTGAAATCGGATTGATGGTCTCAGTGACAGAGAATCCTGCAAAAAAAGAGGGGTGGGTGTCAATAAAGACCTTTAGAAATGTGGACTCAAGTTTCCATTAGGAAGGAGCAGGACGTCCAGGACAGTGATTTTAGGAAAGGTGAAAGAAAACACGCTCGGGTGTGGAAACTGCAGGGCAGGCCACCGGAAGCGGGGTTTGGAAGGGTCAGCAGGAGCTCTCGCAGTGGACACGGCCAGGGTCAAGGGGGGGGACCAGGAGCTTCACAGGCGGGCAACAGGGAGAGGCTGGCAGCAGGCCCAGGAGTCCAGACTCAAGAATGTGATCCATGTCCTCAGAGGCCACTGTTGGCCTGTGGCTCCCATGGGGAGAGAGAAGGGAAGCAGGGCTCAGGTGTCCGTGGCCCCACAGTCCTCCCGGGAAACAGAGAGGACAGGATGCAGCGACCCAGATCACACAAACTCCCTGAGCCCCTGCACGTGTGGGGACGGCCCTTCTCCATTCTCACAGTCCCCGTTAGTCCCCTAAACTGGCTGAGTCCCACCTAAATACGCCCTTCAGGTGGAACCCGGAGCGCAGCAGCCAGCAGAGCCCAGGCAGACTCGGCCGGGGGATGGGATCCCCATCTGTCCAGCGCCCCAGCACAGTTTCTGAGCAGCCTATCACCTGCTTGGGACGTCAGAATTTCTAAAGAAAAAAAAACTATACTAAAAACCTACAAGCTTTAGCTCCTCAGAGATCAGACCTCTGGTCGCACTGCGGAGAGAACGTGGGCCCTGAGCAGGCACCCTCCGAGTCCCAGAGCCATCCGTGGAGGGTTAGGACTGGTCACCTCGACCCCCAGCCCCCAATCCCCCCCTGCACCTGCCCATCCCCTCAAGGTCCAGAACTGTCTTCCTGCACGAGACACCCACCCAGGCCCACTGGTGTCCCCTGCTCTCCTCTCCTTGGCACTCTGGCCTCCCCACTCAGACCCTGGTTCCAGCTCCACTGGTCAGAGGTCTTCCCAGCAAGCAAAGCTCCACTGTGTCTGCAGGGGCCTCCTGCCGATCCTGCCCTCTGCAGAGCAGACCAGGGGCTAGTGGAGTAGAGAACCCACCTGTGCTCCAGGGGACAGAAGCAGACACAACACCACTCCCGAGGTCAGTTCTGAGTCTGCCCTTTGGAACTCAGGCGCCTCCCAGGTCCGTAGCTGGAGGCCATGGCCGAGGCTCCCCTTTTGCATAGGGAGGGATGCTAACAGCCTGGGGTACAGGAGTGCAGAGAACAAGAACCAGAGCCCAGGCCCAGCACTGGGCATGAAAGGAGGTACCACGAGCAGGGACAGGGCGGAATGTGAGGGGACTGGCTTCACTAGCTCTACGATGGCCTTGAGCTAAGAGGGTCACTTGGCCAGCTGAGACCCTGTGGCCATGCATGGCACCCAGGGAGAGGCTCCAAGGGCCTCCTCCTGTGCAGGTCCTGCGATCCTGACACTACAGGCACAAACATCACCTTGCTGCAGATGCATGGCAGCTCAGAAAGGGCTGACCCTGGCCCACAATCCACAGCCTGACCATCACCCGGGTGGCAAGGCCCTTGGGGATATGCAGCACCTAGCGGGGACCACAGCCGGACTGGGCCCTCAGGAGTGCAGCGTTCAGTGACCATGGCTTGGAATTCAGCTGTGGATGGGCCTGAGGAAGAAGACCTACAGGGGTCCATAGATGCGTGGGAAGACGTGGGGTGCCCTGACTCCTCAGGGAATGCAAACCCTAACCGCAGGGAGGTCCCTGGATGCACCCAGCCAGCCAGCGAAGACCAGAGAGGTGGATAACACCGAATGCTGGTGGGGACAAGTGAATCCAGAAGTATCCAGAACTCTTGCCAGCTGCTAGTGCCAACGAACAAAGTGCAGCTGGGATGGACACAGGTCTGGCAGGTGTTTTTCTCCCCCCTGGCACCGGGCATGGAACCCAGGGCCTGGAGCATGCTAGGAAAGCGCTCTACCCCTGAGCCCCACACCCAGGCCCTGGGAAGGCTGGGGAAGGTTACACCCCCAGCAATCCCGCTCCTGGGAAGACCCAAGAGAAGGGAATGCTCTTCTTATGAAAACTTACACCTGAACCTCCCCAGTAGTCTCCTACAGTGTCCAAAAAGGGACAACAACCCAAATGTCTGTCAACTCGCGGAGAGAGCCACATGGCAGAATATTCCCAGCAATACAAAAAACAGACTGCCATGGACACGCACAGAGGAACCTCAGCACCAGCCAGGTGGCAGAACAGGCAAAACTGGAGACACCAAGCAGGTCAATTCATTTCCAGGGCCAAGGAGCGGAGCAGGAGGGGTCACACGGGGGCTCATGGGTGGCCCCGGGTGGCCAGACACTGACAATGCGAGTGCTTCATGGGACGCACACTATATACCTCTGTGATGCCGCTGGCTGCCCTCTTGACTTACACGGGTCTTTGCCAACCTGGGGGCTTTGGAGTGACATGCTCTGGACACACGTAGGCCATTCATGCTGGGACGGAACCCGAGTGCCACACACGCCCAGCTCACACTCCGACACTCAGCTATGTCCACGGGCTCCATTTACCATTTTTTTTTTTAATATTTATTTTGTAGTTATAGGTGGACACAATATTTTACATTTGTGTGGGCTGAGGATGGAACCCAGTGCCTCGCACGAGCTAGGCGAGCGCTCCACCACTGAGCCACGGCCCTGCCTTGTTCACCATTTTTAACACACAAGTGAGATGAAGCGGGTGAAAGGAAACCAGCAAAGACATAAGATCCACACAGAACAAAGGAGCCCCCACAGCAGAATGCCCTGCCTGTCGTCACTTCCAAAGACCTCTGTGACACTGAAGCATCAGCCCTCACGGGCCAGGGAGTGTGAGACTGAGACCAGAATCAGGGAAGGGCTCCTGGTGAGAAGCCAGGGGGGTACAGCCTGGAGCGGGGTCTGGGGATGCTGGGGTGGCACAGAGCAGGTGGGGAGCGGCCCCCAAGCCTCCACAGGCCCACGTTACTCCAGCACCATCATCTACTGCTCACTCCATGCCAAGACCTCTGTGGGATGACCATGTGACAGAGACAGGGCCACAATGTGGCACAGGAGCCAGGAAGGACACCATCCTAGGACTGTGCTGGGGGTCTGGTGGTGGGGCCACCAATGACAGCACCCTCAACTGGCTCAGCTCTCCCGCCATCCCCGCCATCAGTGAAGCACTCACCGCCTTCTGTAGCTGATGCCAGCCGGGGTGTCTGGATGACTCTTCCTCTAAAGTCGCTCACTCCCCAAGGGTATTCCCAGGAAGAGGACTCAGCAGTCAAGAGCCTAGCCTTTCTCTGCAACACTGGGACAGCCGACCTCAAGTGCCTGTCCCCACGTGACCTGGCTGTCAACACAGATCTGGGCTCCTGGCCATGTGAGCTTGTGTAGTGTCTCCTCCCTCCAGCAAACGAGGCCCTTCTTGTCAACAACAGAGCATTTCACTAGGACCGTCTCTTACACACACACACACACACACACACACACACACACACACACACACGGGGACAACACTCTGCATACCACCTGTCCAGCCATTCACAAAAATGGGCATCCAAACCAATATCCGACTAAGTCACAGTCCCTGTGCAGGCTGGCAGACAGGGCACCTGCTTCCCAAGACACAGAATAAAGGGAGGAGCACTGCTTGCTGTTCTCAAATGTGCCTGATGATGACAGTTGTATTATAATGGCCCTTAGCCCATGTGTCCAACAGCTGACAACCTGTCAGATTAACCAGTGTCAGGGAACATGTGTGACAAAGGGCAAGCCCTGTCTCCTGGCACCAGAGGTGCCCCTCCAGGCAGGTGGTCTGGTTAGCACAGCTGTAGCTGCTGGGCTGGCCATGGCTGTCAGCCTATCAGCTACTCCATGACAGTGCAGGTGGCCTGGACCCCTTCTGCAAAGTTCTCCACCCAGGCACCTGCGAGCAAGCTGCCCACCTGCCCCTGCGCATCCCTTGGGTTCCCAGGGGAAACAGGCCCCCCAGCACCGCAGGGGAAGGGTGTCCCTCAGAGGGCCGAGGAAGCCTCTGACTCTGGAGTGTCCCGAGTACCCGTACATGTCCACCTGTCTCAAACTCCCAGCTCAAGAGTTCTAGCATCCTTTAAAAAAATGCCACAAAATAAAAATTGTAACAGATTTAAGAAAACAGATTTTCTGAAGAGCTCTCGAGTGCACTAGAACTGTGTTCCCAACATCCAGCAAAGCGGCCACCAGGCACCCACGGTCCGCGGTGTCTGCAGGGGAGGGGCTTGGAATGGCATCTATTTTTCGATCAAAGTAGGGTGGCTGTTTTCTTAAACAAAAGTCCTCAGGTGACACTGAGCAGCTGCTATCCAACAAATACACTTAACTTAAATGACTCCCAGCACACCCCCGTCACCTGAGAACCTGCTGATGAAGCCCCAGCCAGCAAGTCAGCCGTGGAGCGAGGGGCAGGCTGAGGAGAACCCAGCATCTGATGGCCCCCCTTTTTATTTTTTTTGGCGAGGCTGGGGATGGAGCCCGACCCTCCGTGACTGAGCCCCATCCCCAGCCTGTGAGCTCTCCTGGAACCTGCCTCCTGGGCTTGTCTCAGGCAGGCTGCTTGTGGATGTGGCGGTCTCAGCACCTGCTGGTGAAGCAGCCCCGGCCTCCATTCTCCCCTCTCCCCTGAGGTGGGTGGAACCATCCAGGACTTTTTCTGCTCCAGTCAGCAAGCTGGGGGCAGACACAATGTGGGTCCCACTAGGAAGTCGAGGGGTATCTGCTGGGCACACGATGCACAAAGCCCCAGCAAAGGCTGGGTGCCAACCCTGAGGACCTGGGGGCAAGCAGCCAGGGCAGCACCCAGCCCTGCCCCATGCCAGTTAGCGTCCGGAAAGGTGCCTAGCAAGGAGCAGGTGCAGAGCAAGGCCTCCCGAGCCAGTGCTTGGGTCTGCCCCTGAAGCAGTGGTACTGCTCACTGGCAGCACAGGAAGACCTGCATGGTGACTGTTTCCAAAGGCTCCTAAGAAG